AACCGCCGTTGGACACTTGCAACACCCGTAGGGTTGCAGATGTGTTGCCACCTTATAATAAAGCCCCCGGCTACTTCACTTACCAGAAGAAACGCAGAACACTGCCACTTAACGCCGGTTGTACTGAATAACAGCCCAAGCTTCCCCTCTCGGGTGTCTTAGAGCCTAGACACTCCATGGAGCGTCCGCCAAAGCGCACTAAGAGCTTAGTGGCCTCCCAGACCGTCGATAATAATAATAGCCCTGGAGCTTAGTCACCCATAAATCGTGGTATAGACTAGGCGCCCTCAGCACCCGGCCACCTCAAGCCCGGTGGATCTGTTAAGGCCACCTCTGGACCAACAGAGGTTGATGCAGAAAAAAAAACACACTGGCCTTCTATGAGGTCGTGGTACTCATCCCGTGTTTGATAACTTACTTTTTCAACGATAATGTGCGATAATTACAATATTTTTAATGTACGTAACAAACGTTTATTCGTTTCGCAAAATTAAAATGTGCATAATTCAAGATTTATTTAAAAACAAGGTTCGCTTAATATATTATTATTAACATGAACAACAAGTTTCGATTGACGATTTAGTTGTAATAGAATAGATTAGAGACGCAATATGCAAGACATCACACAAAACCATTTTACAAATGAAATACATGATTATAAAAAAAACTTAACGTATGCAAATAAATAACAACATACAATAAAAAACAAAAGGAAAGAGGTAAAAACAAATTTGTTCACGCGTACATAAACATGAGGTGGCGTGATGCACGCTAAGGTCCCGACTCAGCATAAAAACTAGGGTTCTAAGACCTTAGAACTGGTTTTCAGTCGCAACCCGTTCAGTGCCGTTACGGACATACTAAATTTGAAAAGAAAACATAGGTAATAAAAAACAAACATTGTACATTAAAAATAAAATGCGACTTTGAAATAAAAAACAGAAATATATCATCTGTGTAAATTTCAACTGTCTAACTATCACAGTTCATGAGATATAGCTTGGTGACAGACGGACAGACAGACAGAGGAGTCTTAGTAATAGGGTACCGTTTTAACCTTTGGGTACGGAACCCTAAAAACAGCAACATATCGGAAACAATAACAATAATTGAATATGTCAATTAATGACAGTGACATATTCAAATACACAGCAAAAATATAACAATATATAGGTAATGTATAACGTTCTAATTTCAATTTAGTTCAATTTAATTTAATTTCTAACATCGCGTCAACCAGCATTTAAGTCTTGTTTTTCTTTTGATGTAAAAGGTAAGATACAGATCTTATATAAAAAGTTTCTATTGTTTTATTATTGTTATATAATAAATATTGTTATGGTGTTAATGGCGTGTATAAAGTATTTGGGTAATATCTATGATGTTTAATAATGGCCACACTGCGCGTCGTTTAAAAGTTGTTCCGCTTTACAAAAAATACATATAAATGAATGTGACAGATGATATAGAATGTACGATACGGAAAGAGATAGCAGTCTATAGCACTGCAGTATAATTACACCATTCGGTGTAATTCGGTGTAATTACGGGTTGCACGAATGGGCAGATCCGTCCGGGTAAGTAACAAGACCTCGCAGAAGACCGGCTTGAAATAGAAGTGTCATACTTCTGCGTTTCGTTCGGTGAGTGAGCTAACCGGGGCCCACTTTATTAAATGGTTGCAACGCATCTGCAACCCTACGGGTGTTGCAAATGTCACTTGTGTGGTTAACGCTTAACATCAGGTGAGCCGCCAGCTCGCTTACCACCTTCTCACTCATAAAAAATAAACAAAATAATCCCATTGCCTCAATTTCGGTGCGCTAATGTCTTTACAATCGCGACAATAAATGAACACACATATAGGGGATAACTTTTTAAAATAGTATTAAACGTTTACATTCTTTAAACATCAATATTTACAGAGTTATTAAATTTTCCAAAACAAAGAATTTTAGAACATCCCTTACCTATACCGTAACGTAAAGTTCATTTGTAAAAGAGACAAAACATACTGTTAGAAGGAGAAGCTTCTAATGCGACGCTGTGGCGCAAGTTGTATAGGATGTTACAAATTTTGTTTCTTTTTTAATTAATTAGTTTGTTTGAAGAATATTTTTTTTTAATTATGGATTTTGTTTAACGTTAATATTTTTTATGATTATTGGCAAGTAGCGTTAGAAGTGTGTTCATTTATTGTTGCGATGGTAACGACACGCTGTATACCTCCTATTTGTATATAATACTATTGGGTAATATAGATGATTTATTCATCAGCAACATAAAATACTGATCTTTGAAAACCAGTATGCATATAGGCCAATGGTTATAATATACCTGTAGTGTGAAAATAAGCACTATGGATGAGATCTCTCTACGTACAAAAACCGTTCAGCCAAACTGTATGAAACTTTACTGGTCAAGATTGTTCGATTCTGTACATTTTGGCCGGATGTTTGGATTAATATTAGCGTATTCAGACACACTAACTAATTCTAAACAGAGAAGGTTATAGGTATTGCTTAGGTATTTATTAGATGACTCCGTGGCGTTGCGTGGAATTGCCAAAGTATTGGCTTCGGCGTCAGAGGTCGTGGGTTCGATCCCACACGGGACAACTATTTGCGTGACCCACAGATAGTTGTTTCGCATCCGGGTGTTTGTCTGCGTAAAATTTATGTTTGTAAAACGTCATTACAACACAGGATAAAATCATCCTAAAGTAATGGCAAATGGTTTTTTTTTTAAATCAAACAAACATAAAAAACATATGTGCACTTTATTTTGAACACGAAAAATTTTCGTATTATAAATATTTTATTAGTCTCTGTCATTTTTCAAGCTTCCATACAACTCACTACAGTCGAGGGATTTTAAGGCTGTGTCCCATTAATTTCGCGCTCCAGATTTATGCACCCAAAAGTCCAAAAGTTAAGTTCTATACGCGTTAGAAGCTACGACCTCTTCAGGTGTTAAATCTCCGATGGCAGTGTGGGCGCAAGGTTTTGCTTCCGCGAGGGGGAACCAGGTTCCAATTCCGGTTTAGCGAATGTTTCCGTATTCGGAATTATATTTTATAAATAATATCATTTATTGCGCAGCGTGATAATTATTCGAAGGCTATAGGAATGTTGGCTGCACGATTATAATAACAACTTTTATTTGGACGAAAAAAAATAAGTATATGTTTTTATTCAACGTTGTTCCAAATATCAATTGTTTCATGGAATGTATTGTCAGCAATAAAATGTGTTCTGAGAATATTTACTTTATAAAATTTTATGGTGCTCCATAATTGAAACTACCGGATATTCGATATGTCGAATACTTTGTTTGTATGTCCTTTTACGATACGAGAAAATTAAATTTCCGTTTCCAGCTGCCATTTTCAATCCGCTAATGAGTCTTCATAGGTCGCCAGCCTTAGAATAGTTTGAACGCAACAGTATTGGCTGTTGCACGAATGGGCAGGTCCGTCCGGGTAAGTACCACGACCTCACAGAAGACCGGCGTGTAGTGGAAGTGTTACACTTCAGCGTTTCGTCTGGCGAGTGAGGTAGCCAGGCCCACTTTATGATACACAATATATCCTTACTAATATTATAAACGCGAAAGTTTGAATGTAGGTATGGATGGATGTTTGTTGCTCTTTCACGCAAATTCTACTGAATGGATTTTAATCGAACTTTGCAATAATATAGCTTATGCATCAGAATAACACATAGGCTATAATTTATACACTTATTTTATGTATATCTGTCTTTCTGTCTGAATGTTACGCCTTCAGCCTATTCTACGCAGACGTAGTCGCGGGCAGCAGCCAGTATAATATATATAAGCCGGCAACGCATCTGCAACCCTACAGGTGGTGGTTATTTGTCTTTAGCATCTTTAATCGTCATAGAATATATGAAATACGAGTATTATACAACGTAGATTGACAACCCGATTAGCGTAGTGACCCTGGCTCTCGCGCCAGTGGGTGTCCGTTTGATCCCCACTACCAGAAAAATATTGTGTGATGAATAAAGTGTTTTTCCAGTGTATGGCTGTTTTATATGTATAATATGTATTTATTTACAAAAGAAAAGTATGTTTAGTTTGGGAGTAGAGAACGTTGCGTAAAAATGTGTCCTAAAATATCTATTTATTATCTTATCCTTTAAACGAGCAATTCTTTTATATATAGATACATATACGTATATATATATATATATATATATATATATATATATATATATATATATACGTATATGTATATACATAATACATACATATATATCCGAGATTCCAATTATATATATAATTGGAATCTCGGAAACGGCTCCAGCGATTTTCATGAAATTTTGTATGTGCCTACATTCGGGGGCGAAAAATCGATCTGACTAGGTTTCATTTTTAGAAAATGTCGTTTTATCCCAGTTTTCAGGGAATGAAAATTATCATTCGAATACAACGGTAAATTTCAACGAAAAAAAAAATGTTACAATAGCCCGGTCGGTAATCGGGCGGCCGCTAACAAACAGCCACGAAACAGAAGGCCGTGGTTCGTATCACGATCATTTAAACACTTGTTTTTTTTTTTACTTTTTTTCGAATCCAGATCATTGCTTTCTTTATCTTTTATTTTTTGTCGTTTTGTTCTTTTGTTATTTTTTTCCCTTTTTTTTTACAGTTCTTTCTTTTGTGAAAAACACCACTTCATATTTTCTTATTATTAGGTCGGTAAGATCGAAAAATATTATGCGTAATTTGTATCTAAATGTAATTTCCAAAATGCACGATTTACAAAAAAAAACATACCGAGCAAAGCAAAGCAAAGCTCGGTCCACCAGGTACTTAATTCATTATATTATGTTTTTTTTTTTAATGTGAAAAGTTGCCAAACGAGCAGGCGGTTCACCTGATGGTAAGTGAATGAATGAAATGAATGTGAGTGAAAATAATTTGCCGTTTAGTTTATCATTTATTGATACTTACGAAGCAATTAAACCTCCTTACGAAGTGGGAATAATCATTGGATTACTAATTAGGAAGCCATTATCATTTTTAGTAACGAGCACAACATTGTTTTGCTGCAAACAAACGCTGCGATTTTGTAGAAATGAGACGAGAACGTTCCGTTCTACATTATGGAAATATCGATTGAAAAATTAAAGTTTACATAACATTCTAGGTCTAGGCTAAGTGTTCAGTGTTGTTTGTTGTCAAAAGGCATACAATAAAACTCACATAATTCCAGTTGGTGCCGAAGCCGGGCGCGAGGTACTTGAGATCCTTCAGTATCTGCTCCTTGTACTTCTCCGTGTCGAGGGTGATGCACATAACGACGCCCCAAAGGGAGACGTAGCAGCACAGCACGAAGTTGGCCAGGTGGAACAGCGTCCTGAGCAGCAGGTTGACGGAGAAGGTGGCTTTGGTCTGGCCGCTCTGCGAATCGGGGGCGGGCGCCTCGGGGTCCATGCTGCCGACGTCCAGGCGTCAGACCTCCGCGAACTCCTCGACCGAACTCGTCTACCGAGGCGGCAACTTCGCGCACTGGTTTCACACGGCCCCGCTCGCGACGCTTTGGAATATTATATCGACGGCGGAAGCTAAAACAACGGACCGACCTCGCGAGCGCGAGCAGCGGAATGTGCCGACCTGTCATAGTCACTTTTCGTTTCCACACGCTTGCAATAATTTGCGGAATTCGTGATTAATCGTCTTTAACAGTTTATTGTCCGAAAGCCCGCTAAAGACTCGTCGTAACCCAACGGCTATGTTCGTGCAGATTGCCTTTTAATAGCAAATTGTTTTGTTCAAGTTTATTATTACTTAGAACCAAGAATAGCAACGATACTTTTATATTCGATTGGCCTAGTGGGTAATAAACCTGTCTCTTACGTTAGTGAATTACGAGTGATTTACGATAGTGCGTTACGAACCTCCTCACCTTTGTCTATAATACTATCAGATAAGTTTAAATATAATAAAGTAATCAAATATTTCAATTTCAAGATCCTTCTCAATCTCAATCAGCCTACTGAAGTCCATTGCTGGACGAAGGCCACCTAAAGGGCACGCCGCAGAGCACAATCGTCCGCTTTCCTCATCTAGCCACTAACAGCGACCTTTCTCAGGTCATCGGTCCAACAGGCAGGGGATCGTCCCACACTACGTTTGCTGAAACGTAGTCTCAATTCGAGAACCCGCCTGCTGCAATGTTCATCGGTTCTACTACAGATGTGACAAGCCCACTGCCACTTCAGCTTGCTACACTGTCGGACTATATCGACGACTTTGGTCCTCTGCCGGATTTGTTTCGGATTTTATCCCTTAGCGCATAACCGAGCGAGTAATTGGTGAGCCAGCCACAAATAACGCGCTTATTTGAGGCTAGCCCACAATTATCAATCAATAAATGTTGTAACCAAAAAAAACTTAGATTATTTTGCTTCAAGATCCCAGGGCAGAAAGCGGAATAACAGGCACGGGGGCTCAACGGACATCCGATAGATCCCTACGGCCCGGGTCGCCAACACCCTCCGTAATATATGCCAAAGTGTTTTACGATTCGATACGCACGTAAGTGGGCAGTGGGGACAGAAGTTCAATCGTAGATGTGCAACTATTCTGCTTGCCCGGCCAAATTGGGCGTATGTTATCTTCTCATATGAAAATAGTGATTGCTAATATCATAAGCTCTTTTTCTTCCAAAAGGCACACAAATAACGGAAACGTTTTGTGACGGAGTCTTCGAACCTTCGCTCATTTCTTCAGAAGCCTCGTTTCTGGTATAAAGAAATCGATACACAAGGTCAAGCTAGTCTTGGACTGTGTACAAATCTGTAAACAACTCGTTGTTATCGTAAACATTTGTCTCGATGTTGTCAACAGTTACGCCCATTTTGTAGTGGCTACAGATCAAAGTTTCTTGAACGTTCATCGTCGAAAATATTATAAAATAAACATTTTTTTTCATATTACATAATCTTTTAAACCTAAACCTCATAAGTATATATATTATGGGTATTCACCTATTAAATTGCCGTTTTGTATGAAGTAAGTTAGTATTTTTTATTTTTGTTATTCTGTAATGTAAGTTAAGTATGCAATCAATGCCTCTTTGTCAACGCAGGGGTAGTTTATTAACGCCCTTCTTGTAAAAATCAGGTGGACGAGAGGCAACAATCAATCTCGGGAATTTAATTTTTTTCCTGCTAAAAAGTTAAGTCCCATCTATCAAGCTTTTTTGCCTTGCCGTAAATGGACCAGTATGTTTTGATACTTACATCAAAAGCTGCTACGAGCTCGGTTGTAAATTAAGTATCATCAGCTTCAACAGAATACACAGCCAATCAAAACTTTGTTTTATTTGAAATGGCCAGTACTTGTTCTTCTAGCAAGATCCCTCAATTCCGAGGATCGTGACCACAATATGTCGTTCTCTCCCACTGCGTGCGGTCGTAGGCGGTGTGAACTGCGCGTTACATGCTGCCGCCCACCTCGTTCTTCAGTGTTTTTTTTTTATGTAAAATGTTGCCAACCGAGCAGACAGTCCGCCTAATGTTAAGTGAATACTGCCGCCCATGGACATCTTCTACACCCAAGGGTTGCAGATACGTTGACAACCTTTTGGAAATTGTGCTCCGGCTACCTCACTCACCAAGGAATATACTTCCACTTGACGTTCGGTCTTCTGTCAGGTCGTGGTACTTACTCGGATGAGCCTGCCCATTCGTGCAACTGTGCCTTGACGATCGCATAATGTGTCCAAAAAAGCAGAGGGCTCGTTCATGGCAAATTAAAGAGGGCCGCTTATAGCATATTCTCTCTATAAATCGTATTCTCATACCTACTAATAAAATTTCATCAAAATCGGTAAAGCCGTTTCGGAGGAGTATAAACACTAAAACTGTGACACAAGAATTGTATATATTAGATATTAGCAATTCTTCTACAATCTAAAGAGAGCTAAAGAGAGCCGCTAGGCTAGGCGCCCGACCACCTCAAGCCCGGTGGATCTGTAAAGGCCCCATAAAGGCCAACAGTGAACAATCCAATTGAAAGCGCGAGATGGTAATCAAGAACTTGCTAGTCTTTGGACAAAAACAAATCAAATAAAGCGAACCGATGAAAACAGCTACGTTTTACTCTTAAAATTAAGGGACCCTTAGAAATTTTTTAAAAAAAACATATTAAACAAGTTACTGGACAGAAGACGTGGGCAGTTTGGTAATAGGAAATATATATAAGAGATTTCCACCCATAATTGACTCATCACGATATCTCTGGAACCATAGAGTAACTTATATATACTGAGATATGTCTGGAACCATAAGGCGTCAAGACTTGAAATATGGTAGGAATATTCTTTTCGCCAAGTAGAGGTCAGCTAAGAACGGATTTTACGAAATTCTACAAAACAACGTTTGCGCGATCAGCTAGTAAGAAATATTTACGTTGGATAAGAAACATTTAGATACGATAAATCCATAAACATAAATTCATTTAGTAATGTGTGATCGCGAAAATTACAAGAAATTATTACAAATATTTTTGTGTGTTGTTTTAAGTAACAGAAAAACTTAAGATGCGATTAAATTAAAATCAATTAAAAACTGCCTTGCAGGCAATTCACTGTTTTCTTGCGCACTGTTTTTATACATATTTTGCACCAAAAATTATTACTGAATAAATTAAAAGTCTCACTTAGTTCCATTCATTCAAATGTTGGCCTTAAAGAGAACCTTGTGCCCTTTTAAAAGGAGACAATAAACATTTGGCGGCAAATTTCAATGGCAAAGTTGACTGAACCTTGAGGATTAATTATGTAAAAATTGCAAGCCCCGTAAAACTGCAGCCCAAAGATTTTATAGTCTGCACATTTTGTCTTAGGCACATCAACTGGTTGGACAGAGTAATGGTATCCATTTCTTAACGAACGTCTAAACTAACGTATGGGAGAATATGGTCTTTAAAAATATTTGGGTCATTAACTCTGCACTCGTTTTCATCCGATTTCTTTTTTCCGTTTTAATATTGGGAATTATGTCATTTATGACATTTTGGTCCCATCGTACAATACTTTTACATAATCCTGTGTTTTAAGAACGTTTTACAAACATAAATTTCAAACACCCAGATGCAAACTAACTCTGGGATACACAAATTAAACACAATTATTATACAGATTATGATAAAAAAATTAAAAGAGATATATTGTAACTGCCTTGAGTTTGCTAAGGCTAGATAAATTAAAACAGTAGTTATTTCCTTTTTTTGTAAATTGTGGTAGGCTACGCTGTTAGTCTAGCGACTTTAACAAATTTTCTCATTCTTTTCTTTCTCATATCTATTAAAAAGAAGCAAGTTGACCCGTGCGAAAATTACAAGCAGTACCGTGGTCAGTCGCCGAATAGTAAAATAATAATGTGCTAGTTTTATTTTTTAATGTGACAATGAAATGAAGAGATGTCAAACGAGCTGGCGGCTCTACTAATGTTAAATGATAACCGGAGCCCATTGACATTTGCAACACCCGTAGTTATTGCAGATGCGTTGTCACCTATTAATAATGTGGGCGCCGGCTACCTCGCTCAGTTCAGACAAAAAGCAGTAGTGTAACATTTCTACTTCACGCCGGCCGTCTGTGAGGTCATGATCACAGTGAACTCTGTTCCGTGGCCCTACCAGTTAAACTCGCCACAGTCTCTTCGCTATCTTTCATTTAAACATATTGCCGATAGATGGCATTATCATACATTCTTTGTAACTAATTTTAAATAAAAGTTTTTTTAAGAAAACAATAATTTTATTTTTCTTGTCTATATTTCATCACATAAGCCTCAAAATGGTGTTTGGAATCAATAAAATTGAAGTAGAATTATGAAGGTAAAAAATGACAAAATATCACGTTTGAAAAATAACATAGATTCGTTAAAATTTAAATATATTCAGAAGTATGCTTACAAGGAACCTGTTAAATAAAAAAATATGATTATTATTAAAATAATAACGTAAAATATATTTTGCTGCGCAATATATGATACATAGCGTACAAAAATGTCCTGCATGTTTTAAAACTATATACGAGGACATTACCGCGAACACGAATAAACATAAATTATAATAATTCGTGCAAATTATTTATATGTTATATATATTATGTTTATTCAACACGGCCGCATTCGATATTGATATAACATTGAACAAAGAAATAAGAATATAGGTATATATAAGTATCTTATATATATAAATGAATTGCTGTTCGTTAGTCTCGCAACAACTCGAGGACGGCTGGACCGATTTGGCTAATTTTGGTTTTGACATATTTTTGGCAGTCCAGGGAAGGTTTAAACGATGAGAAATTATGGAAAATTGCATGGAAAATCGAAATAGCAACAATTTTATTTTCCCATACAAACTGTTTATGGGTATACAACATTTTATGGGTGCGTTCCGAAAATTCTTTTTCGATGTGTTCAGATTCACAAATTAGAAATAATTTATATGGCAAAACGACGTTTGCTGGGTCAGCTAGCCATTAATAAAAAAATTAATTTCATTATTATATTACTAAAGGCCTTTTTCAGGCTGATTTAAGTGCAACATTCATGTTCGAACTCGGCTTTCTCCAATATAATGATTTAAAAAACCCGCTATTAAGCGACACCGAGCCACATCTTGTATTCTTGGAGCGAAGTTATCATTGCCGCCCATGGGAATCAACAACCGTGGGGGGTCAGATGCTTTGGCAACGTTCGCAAGAGTGTGTGCCGGTTATCGTACTAGCCATAAGTTTTATACTTGTAGCCATATTATTTAATATAATATTTAGATGATACGCTAGCTCCAAAAACTTGAAGATGAAACCGAATATTACTTTCGGAACACCAAGAAGCAAAGAAGACTTGTCGTACAGGAATTATCAAATTTATAATTTTGTAACTTTTTATTTTACTTTAAGACCTTCTTCGACACTCATACACACACACACTTCATAATTTTTAAACATAAGAATAAGCTAATCGGCGAAAAATCTCAATGAAGCATTAATTATCGGACAACGCTCAATTTTCACAATACACAAATGCGATAGAAAGTGAACGAAACCTCGCATATATAATCGATTTGTTCGAGCACACATTTCGTATGACAAATAATTGGTCTACACGTGATTTCTCGTGTGCCGATAGGTGACCGTTCGAAAATAACTGACCTCTGCCGATAAGTCTACGGAAACCACTTTAGGTTCTGTATACAATAGTTTATTTTTTAATAATGAACAATTATTTAACTAAATATGTCCTTTTTATTGACACGCTGTTTAAAAACCTTTAATACGTCATATATTATGTAATGCCAGAATTTATTTCAATATGTTAAGTATGACTCCAAAATCAGAACTGCTTTTTCAAATAGAAATCTGAAATTTAAAATGTAGGTATCTTTTTTTTTTCAATCTTGATATGTTTTTCTCTGTATATTTATTTTATGAAAATATATTAAGTTTTGCAAATAAACGACAAAAGCATTTATAAAAGATTGCTTCAAAATATGTCAATTATCTTTGGAAAAAATTACATCTGTATTTTTAAACCATAAAAAGAAAATACTGAAATGTATAAAATGAAAGTCATAAAAATGTTTTGATTATAAAATGCATTAATTGATTACAAAGAGATATGATGCTTCGTTGATTAAGGGTTTGGTAACAGGGAAAACCGGTCGATGTAACTCTAAAACAATGGGCACATCCAAACAAATTAGTAAAACGTATCCGTCACGAGAAGCGGGCCGCGTCTCCGAGCGGGCCCGTACGGCAGAGGCTTGTCTCGAGCTGGCGTCAAAAGAAAGTAGGCGTCATATAAAACAGATTCCTTCCACATGCTCCGGTCAGTGCAACCTTGGCCGCGAGAAAGTGAGTGCCGTTGCCGCGTGCAGAAAAAAAAGAACCAAAGCGCGCGAACTTTGACAGATGCAAAAATGTTACCGAGACGCTGCCTGTTGTTTTTAATGTTTTGCGCGACCGTTCAGAGTGCGAGTTTGATAGAGCGGTCCTACGATTACGTAATGAGCTTGGGGAAGAACATAGCGCCGAGTGTGATGTCGATTTTCGACTGTTTCGGTGAAGACGACGCGTGGACCTGTGCTAAGACGAGGGCGGGACAAATCCTGGACACCTGGGACGAAGAAGTGGACAAACAGCGACGGCAGTGGCAAGGTAAAGAGAATTATACATGTCGTCTTGATTCTATGTTAGATTATCGATAACGTGGAATCACCTGAAACTAATTGCTCATGATAAAAATAAATTTTCTGATATATAGTGTATAAATTTTACTTGTTTATGTAATTTAAATAAAACAAATGTACTGATTTATTTTCATATTGAACACCCGACGTTTCGAAGATCTGGTCATTGTTAATTCGGACTACCATCATTTCGAAAATTATTGATTAATTCTGATCCACGTAGCAAACGCTAACATTAGCGGGACTAACTGGAATTAATTTGATTCATAATGGCATCCCAAGCCAATGGTAGATATATCCAATATTTTTAACTAATAAAATCATATATTCACCGAATATTGACAATAAAATATATAATGGAGTGAGGCCAAGGATTATTCAAGATTTTGCTGTATTGAAAGCTTTTGAAATGAAAAACCTTTTTTAAAAAACAACTTTCTACTTAATTGTCCGAACAGCCGAAAAGCGTATATCGTCACAAGAAGTCGCTCGCGAGATAAATTCGAGGACTTTCTTTAATGCACTTTCATCTTAATATAGCCAAACAAACTGCAAGCCAAAAGCAATATTTCTCGCCGACACTACGATATTTTACAATTGAGATATAGTTAATGTAAAACTTCCTATCGTTACGGATACTTCATTACGTCCAAACACAGGCAGAAAAACTATCGCATAAAATAATTGAGTTTCATTCGCATTTATAAATGGAATAACTTAATAATGTTCTCACTATGTTTTTCATCTTATTATATTCATCCTATTAGCAGCACATACTGTCTCTAAAATATTGGCAAACTTTGTGCAGTTGCCTACGGGCTAAGAGGTCTAATCATAAAAATTGACACGACTGAAAGTAAATCTTCAACGTTTAAGATGATAATTGCATTATATAATTCGTCACAAGCTTTCACGTCACACCATATTATTAAATATGTGCTTATTTAGTCTTAATTAAAGAAGTCTAAGGTACGTTGATCGTACAAAGCAACAATATACGCAGATCTCAACAACTGTATATTTCTGGTGCCCTATTAACGAATCCCACTTAGAAATTATGTAAAAAATGAAACCTTGACAACTAAACTCATGTGCTACATAGAAAATGTTTAAACTAATTCGTGATAACCACTGATGACCGATACACTGTGACAACTCGTAATCACTATCTCCGCCACATCTTCAGAAGCAATGTCCTGATTTCACATCTATCATCTATCATCATGTATCATGTATCATGTATTATGTTAATACGGGACTATATCAAGAAAATGAAAATAGTCAGGCCCATTCAATCTAATGCAACTAATTCACAGGAATCAACATTCAAATTGACAACCCGATTGGGATAGTGGGTGCCTTTTGTGCCACATGGTATCGATCCCCACTATTGGTAAAATATTTTGTGACGATCATAGACATTTCAGATCGTCATCAACGAATCCAACTTACTTAACAATAACCTAAAATAAAGTTAACAATGTACTGAAGTTAAGCAACAAAAATACTGAACAAAATCAGATACGTGTCTTTAATTAAGGAAGACAACCAAATTCATCGGAGAAAACCAACACAAACGTGATGTGTTTGCACATCACCGAAATTTGAACCGGAGAACAAATTCAACAGCCACTGATCACTTGACTATCGCCGCTAAATCTTCACTACGCAAACTGCTTCTAATGGAAGATTCTAATTGCCGGAGAAACGTTTCCGGCTCGAAGACAACGAAATACCTCGCCACCAGTCATCATAGCGGAAACTGCACTAAACCGGGCGCATCGTGCAAACAACGCACGCAGATGGCAGTTAGTGGCGGACAGTTAACTGAAGACCGCTGCGGAAGATAACCGTGACTGTTAAATTAACAGTATCGTCTCTCTTGCCTACTGCGCGTTTAGAATGGATTAAATTGAATCAAACGAGATCTCTTATCCGGTGAACATAGGAGAGGCTTGACGTGCTAGTAAATTGTTAACTCGAACAATATCACATTAGACCAGAGTTAACTTCTGCTTGGAAGGAAAATTAATTTGACGTCAGGAGCATTTATATTTTTTTTATGTGTGAAGGGAACAAATGACCTGAAGGTACATCTGAAGTAAAGTGATCGCACATCGACATTTATAACAACTAAAAGCATATGGAAACATTGCCACCATCTATCACAGTCACCAGATGAAACTCAGAAGTATATCTAACAGTTCTACTTAACGCCGATCTTCTGTGAGGTCGTGGTATTTACCCGGACGGCCCTGCCAATTCGTGAAACAGAAAAGACTATTGTGTGGCCGTGCCACATACATATTTCACTTATATTATTTCACATATTTCATTTTTAATATTTAGGTACCCCAACCCAACAATGTTGTAACACAACGTTTTATCATAATATAATGTAAAGTTAACACAAAGCGACTCATTTATCAATATTTTAATAGTAAAATATCATAACAAATAACACGGTTAAGGACATTATACGAAAGGCGGTAAGATAGAGCGAAGATATTCGATTAGACATTCGACGTAAATCATTCATCATTAACCAATCGTATGAATAAAAAGTTATAACGAAAAAGTTGTACACACTTTCCAGAATGATTGACATGCAATTGGCATCTGTGACATATACCTCTAGGTATATATACCTCTATATCTATACAAAGACACATGGATGACCTTAAACACTTGAATTAAAAGGCAACGCATCTACGAGCCTACGGAAGTTGCAAATGTCATTGGGCGGCCGTTATCTAACATCACATATAAAAATTACAAGTGTTTTGAATATATTTAATCAGGAAAGCAAAATGGCAGATTTAATTTAATGCCGCACCTCGAATGAAAGTAAGTTTTTGCAAACGAGTCGTGCCCAAATTGGAAGAAAAAGAAAGTGAAAGAGCAGTCATTAACCGACGAACATGTCATACCTGCGGCAGTCTGCAAAACAATTATCCATCGAAAAAGGTCGGTGGAAAAACAACTTGTAGGTAATAATTTAGTAAGATGGCCATAACCAGAAAGTTGATATTTATGTTATGAAGGGATGGAATATGAGTAAACGGATCACCCGATGCAAGAATCACCTCCCGTGGCGATTTGCCATGTCCGGAGAGTGTATTAGGTACACTTTGACGTCTTAGCAGACCCTGGTATTTGAGCACAGTAAGGCTGAGGAAGAATGCCGTCAAATAACTGTTTACATTGACTGTGACGGCAAGCGCAGCGTAGGAAGGCCTCCCACAAGGTGGACGGACGACCTAACCAAGATCGCAGGGACGCGTTGAATGCAGGCCGCTAACGACCGGTCGAAGTAGAAGTCAATGGGGAAGGCCTATGTTCAGCAGTGGACGTCCTACGGCTGATATTATGATGATGAACTGTTTACACTTAAAGTTGTTTTCCGACGATCGAGTTATTCAAATTCGCGTGGGCGGTGATAGTTTCTTACCAACAGGCAGATCGCTTTCTTTCACCCACTAAACAAAATCTTCATGATTTGCTTCAAATAAAACAATAACTCGTATGTAACTTAAACTTCTAGTTTCACTTTCCTCAATCCATCTGACACCGCTAGGATTTCCTAGTTTGCAATGTTACCTTCAAATGTCTCCTTACGTGCCGACTTTCTCCGGATCAAATTGCATTAAGTTTTGTATCGGTGAAACGAGATCGCAAGTGACTTATATAACGTGTTAGAGAATCAATGAATTAAGTTGAAGGTCATAGACGGAGTAATAAATTGTCTGACAATAGGAGCTAATGATTACATGGACTATTTATTTATTTGAGTATCTACAAACACATCATCGGTGAAAATTTCAACAAATCACTTTAGGGTTCATATCGGTTCATGTCGTAATTAATATAAATAATTCTAGGAGTAATCATATATAATCATAAGATGAATTATAGGATGTGAAAGTTTGCAAATAAATTTCGTTCCAATATCCATGAATGCATTACGGTAAAAGGCGAGTAAATTATAACTGATCACAGCAACACGTCAATCCTTATCACATTATACACATCAACTATCTTGGCTATTGCGGTGATATGAATTACTGAATTAATATAAACCTCAAAAATGGATGACTTTTACTCGAAAGTTTTCACGTATGCCGAATCAGTTGGTTACACAACACGCGGCCGTTGTCCATAATCGAATTGGTCATTCCGGGCGAATTTCACACCATCAATATGGGGTATCGATGACTTTCCTCCGTATATAAACGAATTAGCATAAGACGTGGCGCGTTGCGAAATCCTCCATTTACTTTCACCCGGCGTATTCACGGACGGGTTTCCTTTCGGGCCGGGCGGACCTGATTGGAGTGCTGAGTATGACCCCCTTTATTCAGCGTCATAATAAACTTATCAGTTCCGTCGATCGGCGCCGGAAACGCGAAGGAAACATCCCAAAGAGAAGGCGCAACCGAAGTTGAATTGAGATAATAACGGCCTCGCCTTCATAGGGTTCCGTACCCAAGGGTTAAACGGGACCCTATTGCTACGACTCCGCTGTGTCTGGTCGTCGGTCACCAGACTGTATCTCATAAACCGTGATAGTTAGACAGTTGCAATTTTCACAGATGATGTAATTCTGTTGCCGCTACAACAACAAATACTAGATACTATTTTTTTGCCGTTTTTATAGATAATGATACGGACCCTTAATGCGCGAGTCCGACTCGCACTTGGCCGGTTTTTTAAGTGAAACGTCGAACGAGCAGGTGATTCACAAGATATTAAGTGAATCCACCGTCCATCAACATCAACAATACGCAAGGGATTTCTAGATGTGTTGGCAACTTTTAAAAAAGCGGGATACAGTTACTCACTCATCAGATGGAAAACCTCCACTTTACGCCGGTCTTCTGTGAGGACGTGGCACTCGCCCGGCCGAGCCTGCCCATTCGTGCAACAGCAAAATCTGTTAACATTAAAACTCTTGAAATTAATTTCATTCTGAAAATATTCGTTTTCTTAAGGGATCATCATCCATATAAAATGCGTAAACTGTATGAGGATCAACACATATATATTGTAGCTATCCGTAGATCATATTAATATCACTTGGAGGATGGAAGTTACGAGTCGCGTCTAATAGCATAGCAACAGCGCTAAACAAACGAGGAGTAGGCACATCTATTATTGGAAAAAAATAAAGGTTTCTTAAAGATTTTTTGTTTGGGAAGATTAAGGATCGCAGATCATGTAAGGTCCCTTGAAGGAAGCTACGTGCCGCGACTCTTAACTACTAGCATAGCAACAGTGCAAACAAATGGGCAGTATTTCTATTAGGTTGAAGTAGTTACTTAAAGATATTTTTTTGGAAGATTAAGGATAAAGGTAAGTGATCACCACCGCCCAGAAAAAACAGAATAAAAATATTTAAGTGCGGCTCCCATACGACAGACGTGATCCCTTTGCTGTTTTTATAGATAACGGTACGGAACCCTCCGTGCACGAGTCCGACTCGCACTTGGCCGGTTCTTATTCTCTGCTCTCCCAAACCAACTTACATATTTTATGTAATACTGTGCTTTTGAATTAGTTCCCTTGATGTTTTTTGCGAATTGTACAAGACTTGAAACAAGCGAACGGACAAACGGGCTTTTGCGAGACGGTTAGCCGCGTGTACTGGTTTGGAAGCCTAATTGTACCTACACGATGCGAAATGGCCACAGCGTCGTGACTAATTCAGGGTTCGATTAGCTATTGGCTATGGGGCCGTTGGTCGTGCGTTCGATTCCCACCCGGAACAAGTGTTTGTGGCACCGACAGATAACTGTTCCGGATCTAGGTGATTCTTCCCAAAGAGGGTTGACGTTGGGCAGGCGGCCGTTGTAAAAAAACTCACAACATGAGTCACATGTCGTGCCGACCCCATCTAGGTGGGATAAGGGCAGGCGGATAGTGATTACCAATTGATGATGAATGACCCAAACAATATCAATATTCTAATTTGGTATACTTTTTAACCGACTTCAAAAAAGGAGGAGGCTCTCAATTCGACTGTATTTTTTTGTGTTTGTTACCTCAGAACTATCGACTGGGTGAAATGATTCTGATGATTGTTTATTTATTTGAAAGCTGGTGCTTCCCGTGTGGTCCCATATTAATTTCATTGGTATTGGATCTTGGGCTCCGGAGATACTTAGGGAACTCCTGAAAATCAATTATAAAATGAATACAGAGCGAGATATTTGAAGTCGATTTTGTTTTTGGTTAATAATTTATATTAAAAGTCAAGTAAGCAAATGAGTAAACGGATGTTAAGTGATTACCGCTGTCCATAGACTCCTAACAGGTTGCCTTGGGCATAATAAATAATAGGACATAAAAGTATCACAGAAGACAGGTGTAAGGAATAATATTCAGGCGAGTACTTTTTAAATTTGTAGAACAATTGACGAAAAGCTTTTCCCTGCGGCAAGGTTTTCGACCCATCCTCCGAACTACGATTCCGACGCTATCCACTGAGCTATGGAATATAAAGCATATCTTTTCACAGACGAAAATCTCAGCCTACTTATCTACTTTGTTTTTATTGCATTCTAAGCATTGGGGCCATCAAGTGTGTCGTTTCCTTTGCAACAAACGATCACTTTTCATATGACATTTATTATTTGAAATCTAGAGACATATCCTTTTCCGTGAGTGAGGTGAACGGGGAACACTTTTAAAGATTTGCCACAGACCTGCAACTTCACGGGTGTTGTGCAAGTCCATGAGCGGCTTTCATAGATTCGAGGGTAGCAGTTCGAATCCCAGTTGCATAATTTTACATATTTGGGATATTTCAAGTGCTTTGGCAAGGTGTGGTGCATTGTTATTTCGTCTTCGTCGAGAAGGTTGAGAATTCAATGAGACTTCTTCTCGAAATACTAGGCACAGTAAATACAATCGGTTGCGTCAAACGAAAGTTGATATAACAGCATTCTCACTTTCCTCGCGCCCCATTGTTTTTAATTGCGGGAACGCACGCAGAATCGTGCAATTAAACTTCGCCATGGGAGCTTTCTACAAACTTTTTTGCCACGAATCAACCATTGACCATTCCCTCATGATAATTTCTAGGTTAACAATAGCTTAAAAGCCTGCATACGAAAACAGATAACACAAAAAAGCCTCCTTTCGAACATCATCTGAAACTATAGCCAAACTATGGATGACATAACCGTTGATACATTTATGCAAATACCTTACATTGTATTATGTGTCTGGAACTTTATTGTATTCAATTTCAAGATTATTAACACTTTGGTGATGAATAAAATATTAAGACGGCCGACCGGCGGCATGACCCCGAACCTACTCACCCTGAGAAGGATCTTCAATGGGTCCGAAACTAGTCGGTACGTACATCGAATAAACGTGACTTCAGCCGTCTTTAGACTTTCGTTTAGACTTGTACTCCATATTGTCCAATATTCCGTACACCCAGCACGTGCATCGATGAGTGGCCACTCAAACTTACGTAAGTGCTTGAAACGATATGTTAATTGAATCGCACAAACATGTAAATAAGAGAAATCGACTTAATATCAACAGCTCATAAGAATTTTTGACATTACCCTTACGTTCTAAAGAAAGTTTTTCATCGCGTCAATTATAACTCAAGTCACGTATGGGCCCGTGGTAGGCTTCTTCAAAACTCCTTTATGTAAGATGTGGGAGGATAAATTGAGTTATTGGACTGTTCTCTTTCATGTAGCTTATAAAGAAACTCTTACAATGAGACAGATGGTGAGCGTCAAAATACTTTAAATACTTTAGGACACCTTTTTACACAACATTCTCTAGTCCCAAACTAAGCAAAGCTTGTACTATGGGTACTAGAAAACTGATAAACATACTTAAACATACTTTTCTTTTGTAAATAAATACATATTATACATATATAAACCCCAGACAGACACTAGAAAAACACTATGTTCATCACACAATATTTTTCAAGTAGTGGGGATCGAACCCACACCCTCTGGCACAGGAGGCAGGTACACTACCCACTAAGCCATTCGGGTCGTCAATATAATAAGGATTTTATTAAAAACCGGAATAATACAAAATTTTTCGTTCACCATCATCTGGATTCAGAGCAACTGAACATTCAGCTCTAAATTCTTAAATGTATCAATATCTAAGTTTAAAAAAATGTTGAAAAGCATGTGTGTGTGTGTGTGTACGGCTTCGGCTGTTGCATGAATGGGCAGGTCTGTCCGGGTTAGTCCCACGACCTCACAGAAGACCGGCGTTAAGTAGAAGTATTACACTTCAGCGCTTCGTCTGGTGAGTGAGGTAGCCGGGGCCCACTTTATTTATAGGAGGCAACGCATTTGCAACCCTACGGGTGTTGCTAATATCCGGTGTTGCTAATGGCGGCTACTATAACTTAATATCAGCGTTTGCCACTTTTTCACATAAAAAACACAATGTAAAACACTTAGACAATTTCAAAATATGTTAATAAAAAACGGCCCACTGAGTTTCTTTCGCCGGTTCTTCTCAGGTCCATGGCTTTTCTTTTCCGAAGGTGGTATTGGCAATTAATAAACGAGTGTAATGCCCCTTTTTTGAATAAAGATATCTGAATTTGAAGGCAAGATAAGTGACGTATGCCTTGGTCTGCAGACGCCGCTGACGCAGAGATCCGCTCCACCGGGAGGTCCCTGGAAGAGATGCCGTCGCAGCTCGGGAAAGAAGTGGAACAGTCCTTGGGCTCACTGGCGGACCTCATTAAACATGGCGTAGCAAGGTGAGGCCACGAACCATTACGAAGGGAACTCAATTCCACCGTTCCACCATTGTTGCCGATCTTTTCCATAAAAATATTTTATTTAGATGGTACATAGCACTGTGTGAATATTTTTTTTAGTTTTACCATATAATTACTGCAAGAAGCTGTTTCTTAGGCGGAATGCGCGAGATAGACCTTTAGGTCTTTAGGAATTTCGCTCATAGACCAAAAAGTGGTTTAGGTTTTCTGATCGTTCCCTGTATAACAATCACCAAAGATTGAAACTATAAGTTAACGATCATAATATTAGGAACGGTTAAATTTTAGATTATCTGTCTACCATATCCTATACGTTCGATAAATGCACAGTTACTTCATACCAGCGTCAAGTGGAAGTATGACAAATACTTTCGCGTTTCGTCTGGTGAGTGAGGTAGCCGGAGCCCAATTTTCAAAAGGTTGTCAACGCATCTGTATATGCATGGCGGCGGTATTTACTTACCATCAGGTGAACCGTTGCTCGTTTGACAACTTTTCGCATAAAAATAAAACCTAAATATCCCTTGTAGCGCATCGCAGCGTCACTAATTTATCACGAACTAGAATAAACGAAACATTAAAACGCTCCGTTCACATCAAGATCTAGCTCGGGAGCGTGTCGCGAATTTGCTTACCTTTCTTTTTGCAAAATCGCATAAACCGAGAGATCCGCGCTACGTATTATTCAAATGATGATTGTCACAGTCTGACGCTGTCTTTGCACTTAAGATTTAACATTAAAATATGTAGAAAAAGTACGAAAAGATTGTCGCCGCTGTGGGAATCGAACCCATGTATTCGGTATTCGCGGCCTGACACTTCAACCACTTAGCTAAACGGCTGATTGCCACACCGACGACGATTCCCACAGCGGCGACAATCTTCTCGTACTTTTTCTATATATTGTAAAGCAGGTTTAGAACTTATGAATGTAACGTAACTATAAAAGTTAATACAAATTTGTTGTCTCGTTCTGGAACCGAGCCCATCACAGGAGATTGCGTGAGTGAGGTAACCGGAGGCCAGCTACACTCTCAGTGGTTGGTAACACGCTTGAAACATCTGGTGTTGGTGTTTCCGTGGACGAACTGACTTTCCACGAGCCCATTTCCTCAATCTTAGTATGTTAACATCCAATACAGGAGATCCAATTTTTTTTATGCGAGAAAGTGGCAAACGAGATGGCGGTACACCTGATGTTAAGTGATAACCGCCGCCCATGGACATTTGCAACACCCGTAGGGTTGCAGATGCGTTGCAACTTTTTATAAAAGTGGGCCCCGGCTATCTCACTCAACAGACGAAACGCAGTAGTATTACACTTCTACTTTACGCCGGTCTAATTTAATAGGCCACTACGCTTACCACGCCATCTATTACTTAATGCTTAATATGTTGTACGTAACATCCAATAAGATTTAACTTCCGTCTAAATAGCTTTAATAAGTACTAATGCTTCATTTATTTCTTTATATCTCAACGATCTCTTTCTTGTCCATCAATCTGTTTTTGGCAACAGATATTTTAATTGTCGCATTTTAATATTCAATTTCTGTAGAATTTTACATACTTTTACTAAATAATATTTCAAAAAAGAAAGTCCATAGTTAATAGTCTTGTAAATCTGATAATATTAGCCTACAATCTGGTGGTTACTCGAGTGCAGGGTGATTATTTTATTTTAAATCGGCGCGTGCGCATGACATAATGTATATATTTGAAAATTGAGGCAACTTTTTCGAAATATTAAGCTTTGATTAATGATTTCGTCAAATCCCACCTAGAAACGTCAGATGCCTCTTTTAAATCAGAGATGAGAAGAAAACATAAGTTTTATGCATATAATTATTAGCATTTGATTCTAAACATATCGAAACTTATATGGAAAACAATTTTCATTATTAGCTAACCCACTGTCAACTTACGCAATGTTACAAAATTTGTAGTTTATCCATTCTTCATCACAAAACACAAAAGTCATCACAAAGAAATGCAACAGCGTTCATTTAGCCAACGTTTTGAATCCGATGAGATTGACAGAGATGATGAATGAACTCTGTATATTGTTAACCAATTTTTCTCAACATAAACTCAAAAGCTTGTTATAGAGTACAGGGCACTATAACGTCAGACGATCAAACACTTCTTCAAAAGCTGATGTTTGCTAAACTTGTCAGAGAGTACAGGGTCCTGTAACGTCAGATATACTTCACTGGAATTTCATTTCCATACAATGTGATCGCAGCCCTAAATCGCGGCCATTAGGCCATTAGCGGCTAAAGAAATGCACACATCAAAAATCAATTTACGCCAGCACGGATGAGCAATTATAATGGAGAAACGCGACCTCGGGAACGCGCCAAGACCAAACCGGTCGTCGAACCGGCGACCCGCCACTGCGCGCACTTTCTCTGCCGACCGACATTCGACCACATGGCCGTGATTATATTAAAACATAACGACTCGCACGGGCAATGGGTGCCGATGGGAAAAATGCACCTCGTGAAGCTCCCACGACTCGTAATCTATACGAGGTGGTTTGACAAATGGTGGGTGTACAAAAGACCATCGAATTCCAAAACACACAATATATGTATTTAGGTTGTGCGTTTGTAACTTGGCACACATTTATACGCATTTAATAGCACAAGGTTTTCGTTAAGAGCAATAATATGGTGCAATGTTTCTTGGTGTTTATTTTTTGTTGGGAGTTTGCAAGCGACAACATAGTTTACCTGATGTTAAGTGAACACCCCCGACCATCGACATCTACAACAATTACGGGTAGTAGAAGTGTTGCCAACATTAAAAAGTGTGTCCCGGTAACATCATTCACCAGACAAACTCGAAATCATGCTACTTACTTCCACCTCACGCTGGTCCCCTGTGAGTCTGTGGGAGTTCCCCGGACGAGCCTGCCAATTCCTGCATCAGTACAAGATGTGTAGTCCTACCACAGTCAATAGTGTTTAGACGTTACCAATTTTTGTATAAAAAATTCTCACAGAAAAATTCAAAATTCGAACGGTAATCTTAATAAAATCCTATTAATAAAGTCAGTTTTCGTGTATACTACACTAATTGTTCATACACCTTATAAGTGATGACAGCTTATTGCCATAGAGATTAAAGTAAAGACATGTGCGTGAGGTTCAAACGTTTCGTTGCTTTCAACATGGAGGTCAAAGAAAATGACTTGCAGACGAAGTTCAAAGAATTTCAGTACTATTATGAGTCAGCTTTTTATTTAAATGCATGATGGATTCGGAAAAATAAAAGTCATGCCAAAGTCATCTAACTACGCAGTCTAAATAGTGTAGATATTTACCTAGTGTGCAACAAATTTAAATTTTTTCCATGAATGTATAATATAATGACAAAGATCTAGAAGCAGTTAAAGAATTGTTTTTATAGTTCCCGTCGCACCAAATGTTCAAGGCTACCGCAATTACGACTTCCCAAAAATAAGAAGTAACGTATAATTTAAATATTAGTCAACAGAACTTTATAAGTTTTGTGATAAAAAAAAATAATTTAATTGAATCGCGTACGGTTTGCATATTAATTTATTTCTAACGTTTCCCTCTACCTTTGGCGTCCATTCACGACCAAATATAAAATTCCCATATCTTGTAGATACACAACATACAGTTTTAACTTTCTCAACTGTAAATATTACTTTTAGCACTTTTCTAAGTAAACACTCTCCATTTCGAATCTTTCTAGTTTCAACAGAGGCAAATGATACAGCGATATTCGAGAAGTAAGTTCCACTTACCAATCGTGAGCTAATTATAACGAAAGCTATATAACAGCTTGTCAAGTCAAATCTATGCATATAAAAAAGTAGTTAAGAATTATATATTGTAACGATATTTTGGTGCATTACTTCTAAAGTGACGAGTTAAAATATTGTTTAATAAAACATATTATTTTACTTATTCGATCGTAACCGTTTTTATGTTTTCATTTTTTACAGAGCATTAGAAAGAGATCACCATGAGAGCCGTGTCGATTTAAAGCTTGGCTCGACATTGAGCAACGGAAAGCGAATGAAAAAGAAGAAGCCTAGGCCCCAAAAGATTCATATTTTCAATCCAGTCGTACCGCCAATAAAAAAGCAAGAAGAAGCAAGAGGATTCTCCGCAGGAAAAGTACAGTCTTGGGTCATTGGGCCCAGAGGTTTAGCCGACGAGACCCCGGATGTGTACAGAGGTATAGACGATGGTAGAAGTGTAGAAAACCCTGAATTAGAAGTTGAAGATACAAAAGATACAGAGAATGATACTGAAATAAACGACGACGATAAAGACATTGATGCTAAGAATGGATCTGATTCTAAGCTTGGTGGAGTCAGTTTGAGGAAAGGTAGAGGCCTAGTGTCTGATATGTGGGGCATTGGAGAGAAGACTTTGGATGCACTAGCCGATCAGGTCATCGAAAACGAAAACGCTGAGAACGGCGTCCAAGATAAGAGTTCTTTTGAAGGTTTGTTTGAATTTTTTTTAGTAATTAAATGTAAAATTTCATCTAGATTAATTCGAAAAATACTTTTTCGTAATTTTATTTATTTCATCAAAAAATACTTGTTTACAATACCGACGGAGCCCTCGAGGGCTGGTCAACCATAGATCTAGCTAAGCATTGGAAACATCAGAAATTAAGAAAAAACAAAATTCAACGCGAATAGGCGAACCCGTTATTAAAGATAATTAAAATATGCAACAGTGTTCACTGTTGTGCGCATGAGCAGGTCCGTCCGGGTAAGTACCACGACCTCGCAGATTTTATAATATAATATGATGACAAAATGTAGCTGTAGAAAATTTTCCATCGAGCAAATCTAATGCTAATTACGAGGAACAGAAAAGACCGTTAGTTAAACAAATACTCATTCACTTATCTGATATAGAGATAAGCTATTTTCTATCAGACAGCACAGAAAATAACAAAAAACTGGATGAAACAGCATAATACATTGAAACATTTAGAAAAATAAAATAAAAGTTAATGGTTGAAAATTTAGATTATATCGTGAAAATCACAATTATTCAATTTGCACAATTATTAGCTACGTTCCTATATATCACCTTGACTGTAATTATTACGATCTATTTTAAGAACGCAACAAATGTTCTCACTACTAACCGCCCTCGAGGCATCTCTAGAACAGTTTAGATTGCATCGTAAAAACGCAGTCTCGCGTTTGGAATGTGTTAACGCATCAGTAATTGGTGCGATACACTTGTTGAGAACGGTCTTCGATCTCGGCAACGAGTGAACTCGATACACTCATAAGAGATATAGAATTATTCTCATTGTACTACTTTCTTTGTTTGCTATGAAATTTACTTTAAGTATTTTTTTATTTTTATGTTTAACCGCTGTTTTCCTTGGATATATCCTACGCATGGTGGCCGAAAAACATAGCAAATTCATAACCTTTCAACATTTATAATAAGATCGCTTGCAGTAAGCCATGTTTTAAAGTGGAGTAAAATAAAGCGTGCAGAAATGAAAGTATGAAATAAAGTATTAGTGACTACTTGCGTCTGCTTAGTTAGGAGCTGAAGCTAAAACGCTTTGTCACCGAACAACGTTCTAACGATGCGTGCAAATTGTAGAGCAAAGGGGCAAAAAGAAGAAGAAGAAGAAGGCCATCCTGAAACTGCTGATCTTGGGGGCGGTGTTGAAGGCGAAGATCGGGACCCTGCTGCAGATTCTGTCGTTCAAACTGCAGGTAAGATTATAGAAATTCTTTTCTGTATTGATAAAGTCACGCTACAAAAGGCTGGTGTTACATTAGAATATTTATAGACAACTGCAAATGCTTGGCAATCGGTGGTAAGATAGAGAGAGAAGAAGAGATATGTTCCCCTCCAATGTTATGGATGACCTGAGGCGATAACTGTGTATTTGCTAATAGTCTAGAAACTTTATTGATTGAACACTTGTACACTTTGAGAGATAGCAGTCTATAGAATTGCAAATCTGATTACACTAATTGGTGTAATTTGAGTGCCTCAATTTCGGTGCGCCAGTGTCGTATTGTATATAATATCATTGGACATAACCACCAATAAGGATAAAACGTGGGCCTAGTTTTTCAACCGTGTTTCACTTCTTCCAGGTGAAGTTCTTCATAATCGCCCTGATCGGACTAGGAATAAACCTGGCGAGGTTCTGGGTCGAACTGAAGAACAAGCACCATCAGCCGCAGAAGGTGGGTGACCATTCCAGCTTCTTAACCTAATTCTACAGTAGCCTAGGACTTAGGACTGACGGATTGATAGAATCACTCGCATCAAAACAATGGCACGGGTGTTAGCTAAATTGCAGGTAACTAAGGTCTTAGGCCAAATCTTATCTAATGTTTGTGATGCTTTAGACCACGAATTTGGTGGAACTGTTGCGCCATCTATCTTGATTTAGCAAATACAAAAATGGCCTTGTTATAACTTAACTGCTTCAATTACTTCTTGCAAAGTCAAAGTCAAAGAATCTTTATTCAATATAGGCTTAACATAAGCTCTTATTGAATGTCGCCGTAGGACGACCACCCACTAGATGGAGTGACGACCTGTGCAAATGTGCGGGAAGTCGATGGATGCAGGTGGCTCAGGATCGTACTTCGTGGCAGTCTATGGGGGAGGCCTATGTTCAGCAGTGGACTCAAATGATGATGATGATTTAGGTATAAAATCAGCAGCAGGAAGGGCTCTTGCAAGTGCAAATGTTAGCTACATGGCATGGGTTTGCCCAACTTATTCCTTAATCAACATATCGCCAATCACAATTCATACACTTTAAATATTTACTCATAAACTTAACAATTATGAAATTTCTCAGCAAACCTAGAAACAAAACAAGTAAGACAATGAACTTACAAGAACTAACTATTAGTCCAGATTATTATTAAAAAAATATTATTCTCCACTCGACCATCCCTTTTAATTATTCATCAACTTTTCTTTTTTACTGCGTCTCTTACAAATGAGTCCATTTCCAGATCTAATCACATCCTCGAAGTATCACAAATTAACTTAAACGAGCATTCATCTTACTAAACATAGAACTGGACAATGTAAAAGAAATTGAAAATATGAAAGTCTCGGAGCAGAGATTGCCAGAATAGAAACAGCCGTTTAATTAAACAGTTCCTTTGCTAATGTCGACTAATAAAATCAACTACAACACATTACATACGCGCTTTCTTTCATATTATTACTTTAATACTCTGAATAGAAGTACTTTCGTTGAATTAGCTTAAAGTTAATTAGCTTTAACGCCTTTATGCTATGTGATTTAATTTATTAAGCATATAAAGTATTCATGTCAGCCTTTCTATTAGTCAGATGCACTGAAATTAATTAGGGCATTCATAAAGACTGTCGGTTATAACGCGTTCAGAATATTCGATTCGCATCAAAGAGAATGTTTGCCTTGAATAATATTCACATACAATTAAAATGAATAATACAATTATGTGAATAATACATATTCATGTACAATTAAAATGATACTATATTAATTATACAGTGTGTCGTTACAATCGCGACAATAAATGAACACACATATAGAGGATAACTTTTTAAAATTGTATTAAGTATTTACGTTCTTTAAACTAATATTTACCGAGTTATTAAATTTTACAAAACAAACATTTTTAGAACACCCTTACGTATAAAACTGTAACGTCAAGTTTATTTGTAAAGGTTACAAAGCATATGAATGGGTTGAAAGAGTTGAAGGAGATAAAACATACTATTAGAAGGAGAGACTTGTAATGCGACGTTGTGGTCAAAAAGTCTCTGAATGTATGAATCAGTCAGTTTTAGTTGTATAGGATGTTACAAATTTTATTTCTTTTTTACTTAATTATTTTGTTTGAAAAATATATTTTTTTAATAATGGATTTTTTAACGTTTTATAATTTTTTTATGATTATTGGCAATTAGCGTTAAACGTGTGTTCATTTATTGTCGCAATGGTAACGACACGCTGTTTAATAACTGTGGTAGGACTACGCAGCAGCCTCGGCTGTTGCACGAATAGGCAGGCCCGTCCGGGTAAGTACCACGACCTCAAAAAAAAACCGGCGTAAAGTGGAAGTATGACAAATACTTTCGCGTTTCGTCTGGTGAGTGAGGTAGCCGGAGCCCAATTTTCAATAGGTTGTCAACGCATCTGTAACCCTCGGGTGAAGCAGATGTTCATAGGCAGCGGTATTTACTTAGCATCAGGTGAACTGCCTGCTCGCTTGGCAACTTTTCAGATAAAAAAAAACACGGGATAAAGATTGGGAACCGGCAGTATTGCAATTTTATTTTTATATAATCGTAATTTCGCAATAAAATAAACCTAACTAAATTTTTATAAAACAAAATGGACATTAAATTAAGAATAGCGAAAAGAACCGAGCAGCAGGTTGATTTATTGAAGTCATTTTGTCGTTTTTATTTACTCTTGTATTAGCTGTTAGTTATTTTTAGCGCGGAAATAGCAAAGAAAAAAAAAAGAATAACGAGGTGATAAATGGTGTTAGTGTTAGTGGTACACCAGTTCAAAGCCTGGTTTTGATCGATGGGTAACCGGGACGTCGTTATTAATCGACTTAGGTTTCCACTTAGGTTTCCATCATGAATGTATCTAATCCGCTTTTCAAACCTGTTTAATTCATGCCGCTTTCTGTATAACTATTTTCAAAAGGCAGCAGTGTTGTAGTAGCTGAAGTGGGTGATATTAGTACACCAGTTCAAAGCCTGGTTTTGATCGATGGGTAACCGGGACGTCGTTAGCGGCTATACGTCACCGTTTCCTTATAGTAATAATAATAATAATAATAATAATAAATATTTTCATCAATCTAGCAATATAAAATGCTATATGGAAAATGTAACGAACCCATGGCATAAAGCTATATAAAAATTTGCAAAATCAATGTACATTAGAATGAAAATAAATCAAAAACAAGTATAACACGACCTGCAATTGATATTTGGGACTATACCACTCCACAATGGTTAAAAGGCGTTACAGCACGTTGCCAAAAATGTATAAGTCTGACATATCACTTTCGCTATGCAAAGTTCAGAGACCTCGCACTCACCGAGATTTAAACGGGGGTAATGTGTTCGCATTGAAGCTAGAGCCATATGCACTCGGCTCGCGGCGGATTTGACGGCCGGCCCGTGTCTCGCGAAAATAAATAGAAACACGGAACGTCATAAATACGTCGTATTTCACACCGCAAATAGTACGCGGAAAGCATCGTTAAGTACTCAAAGGTCGAAGTAAGTTTGACCTGTTCGAAGTGCCGTGGGACTGATCCCATGTTGTTGTTAAGATTTAAAAGCGTTCGAAATTTACTCTTGTTTATTAAGCAAGCCTCAAAAACAAACCCCATAATAGTGAATAATAAAAATGTAATAAACAATAATAAAACAAATAGCTTGAAAGCGGCAAAAGTGACCGAGAAAATAAGGAGTGGTAGGTTGACATGGCATGGGCACATTATGAGACGGGATGAAAGTCGTGTGACTAGAAGAGTGTTGAATATGAATGTGGTTGGAGGGTGCAAAGCTGGGGGAAGACCGAGAAAGATTTGGATGGACTGTATAAAGAATGATAATAATATGTCTGTGAAATGGAAGGGGTCAGGATTTACGGTGGTAGGGCCACGCAGAAGCCTCGGCTGTTGCACGAATGGGCAGGCCCGTCCGGGTAAATAGCACGACCTCACAGAAGACCAGCGTAAAGTGGAAGTATGACAAATACTTTCGCGTTTCGTCTGGTGAGTGAGGTAGCCGGAGCCCAATTTTCAAAAGGTTTTCAACGCATCTGTAACCCTCGGGTGTGGCAGATGTCCATGGGCGGCGGTATTCACTTAACATCAGGTGAACCGTCAGCTCGTTTGACAACTTATCGCATAAAAAAAGGTTGTGCCAACCCCACCTAGTGTGGGATAAGGGCGGGAAAAAGAAGAAGAAGAAGAAAACAAGTATAGTCATAATGTCAACGACCATAACTTTTGTCAGATAGAAGTATAGAAAATCAATACATGAGAACAGACAACTGTATTACTAAGGAATATTATTTGCAAATAGATGAGTACATATCTAGAAAGTAAAATCCACTTACTTTCAAAGTTATTTACTTAATTACAGTAACAAGCAAGGCGCTTGGCTGTTACTAAATCACTTAAAACACAAAAGTATTAGACAAAGGACTCTAAAAATACTTTAATTTTAATAAACAACAGACTAACGTTTCACAAATGGAAACCGGATGCGTCTCGTGTTAAGTCCCTAACATGCGAAAGTGTCGGAAGACGCATTTAAGAGGCTTTCCCCTCGTAAGGCCTTCGCGAAACTGTATCATGGTAAATGGATACCATAAGCCGTACTTACGGCGCTCTAAGCGTGTTTTGTAAGAATACAAATCGTTTGTCATCAAAAACAATGATTCTCCGAGTTCTTCATTCGCATGCGGTTACTTCGAAAGTGTACTAATGTATTCTTTACCGGCGCCTATTGCCTAGTTATCATTAGCCTTTTCATTTAGATTGTGGGTTCGAATCTCAGTGACGTGCACCAATTAGTTCACCATTTTCCTATATCTGAGGTGCGAGAGCCTGCGTTCTTAGTATTCCTTTATTAATATTGCAAATTGAATACTATAATCTATATATATATTAATATAACCGCTTTTTATTAAATGCATATCGATGTATACACGGTGCATATACCAAAATAATTTTTTTTTACAATTTTTGTCTGCCTCTCTGTTTGTTTGTTCCGGCTAATCTCTGAAACGGCCGATTTGGACGGGACTTTCACTGGCAGATAGCTGATGTAATAAGGAGTAACTTAGGCTACTTTTATTTTAGAATTTTTTTTATTTTAAATTCCACGCGGACGAAGTCGCGGCCACAGCTAGCAGTTAATAAAATCACTGGGACTTTAGCTTTATATTCGCAGTTACGTTACGTTAACATTGCATTAAGAATTTCATTTTTATTTGGGTTTTTAGTTCACAGTAAAGTGGATAAAGCTGCATCTGTTAAGGTTTAGAAACAATGCAATCGTGCAATATCATATTTACTCCGGATTCCTGGAAAGCAACGCTATCTCAAAAAGTAGCAGAACAACAAACTGTAATCTAATACTCTTTGTAATTAATAGAAAAGGGGTTGTAAAATTGATTTCTGACGGATTAAAAATAGTAGCGGAGCGAAGACAATCGCTCGGTCCGATGCATTTCAACGTGGGAACTTTTTGCATTCATGACAATTGAAATCATCGAAATCGTTAGAAAATAATCTTATTATTAAAAATAATTACTAAAAATTGTATATAAATAAATATATTAGATATAATGCATATAAGTATAGCAAAACACTTAAATCTTAATGAATTAATGCCGATACAGTTGAAATACGTAGATAAAACACTTAAATAGGGGAGATCAAAAAGTAGCCATGTCTCAGTGCATATACAGCGTGTCGTTACCATCGCGACAATAAATGAACACACGTCCAACGCTACTTGCCAAAAATCATAAAAAAATATTAACGTTAAATAAAATCCATAATTAAAAAAAAATATTTTTCAAACAAACTAATTAGGTAAAAAAGAAATAAAATTTGTAACATCCTATACAAGTCGCGCCACAGCGTCGTATTACAAGCCTCTCCTTCTAACAGTATGTTTTGTCTCTTTTAAATTCATTCAACCCATTCATATGCTTTGTGACCCTTACAAATGAACTTTACGTTACGCTTTTATAGATGAGGGTGTTCTAAAATTCTTTATTTTGGAAAATTTTATAACTCTGTAAATATTGATGTTTAAAGAATTTAACTGTTTAATACAACTTTAAAAAGTTATCCCCTATATGTGTGTTCATTTATTGTCGCGATGGTAACGGCACGCTGTATACGTTCAGTTTCGGAGTCCTCTAAACCTACAGGTATATTTTATGTTTACCGCTAGTGTCTGCAGTTAAGATTAAACTTAAAATTTGAAGTTATGTAGATTGAACGCTTCGCCGAATAAGCTAAACGACCAGTGACCACACGACGCGTAATCTCTACGTCTATCTACTTTCTTTCTTTACATTCAGTGTACATACGCCACAGTATAAAGCACCTTACATATAACATAAAACGGTGAATATTTGAACGAGAGATGTCGTGGTTGCTCTTAAAATATATTATTAATTTTATTAATAAACTAGCGACCCGCCCCGGCTTCGAACGCAATGTTCATACATATAATCCTTCCTCTTGAATCACTCTATCTAGTACAAAAAATCAAGATCCGTTGCCTGGTCACAGACAGATAGCGGGACGACTTTGTTTTATACTATGAAGTGATATTTTCTATTTTTAGTGCTAGTCTCTGCAGTCTGCACTCAAGGTGATACCTATAACGTAAACTTTAATGCAGGTTCGAACCCCGCAGTGCGGAAAGATTTTGACCATTTGTCTAGAAAGATTCACATTTAAAACTTGTAGAAAAAGTACGAAAAGACGGTCGCCGCTGTGGGAATCGAACCCACGTCTTCGGCATTCGCGGCCTGACGCTTTAGCCACTAAGCTAAACGGCTGATTGCCACACCGAAGAAAATCTTAACGTCTTTTGTCTACATTGTTATTGTGAAGCAATGCTTGGCGCATCTATTGTTATATCCTTTCCAGCATACAAACAATTTCGAATATCGTTTTACAACGATAACTTAGAACAAGAGATGTCGAGAGATGTAAGATTCCAATTTTACAATGAACATGTTTATATCACGGAAATGTGACGTAAGCTGTTCGTTGAGGCCACACCTTGAACGATTATATAGTCAGAGTAGAAAAACTTTTTGGTTAATATGGTTCCTAATGGATTGTAATTCACTATTACTTTAAGTCTCGACGGTTTCCGCAATATACACAAGAATGTAACAATCAATTTTATACACAGAACGATTTAAAGATTCTCATAAAGTTTTAACTGTCAGATGCAATAGTTTTTTTGCAATCGTTTAATTGACGACAAATAAGTTAGCAACATTAAACATATTTTTTCAGATTCTTTCAAGGCTTGTATTATTATTCCTTTTAAAAACATATTCAATTTATTGTTTTTTTTTAAATTAATGAAATTAAAAAGTCAACAGTTTATTTGATTGTAGACGGTTTTAGTGGTCTTTATTGTGATTGTAGACTAGAAACGAAAAATAATTACTGTCATTTGTACCGTTTAATACGTACGTCCAATGATGTTTAATAATATAGATGACGAATGTCCATACCGGCGTTTTAAAATTGTTCTGCTTTACATTATACGACATCTATAAAATACATTCATTTTTTAAAATTCATTACACTAATGATATTGAACGTATGATACGGAAAGAGATAGCAGTCTATAGAATTGTAATCACAATCAAACAATCTAATTACACAACTTGAAAATGGTGTAATTTGGTCGTCTCAGTTTCAGTGTGCTTGTGTCGTATCTGCCTCATATTTGTATATAATGTCTTCGCTAAGAATAAATACAGCTAGTGTTTATTATTAGGAAAGTTTTGCAGTTTCAACCTTTATTCCTTTTCTTCAATGGTCATACTTGTTTAATATGCTCATCTCCGATATCGTCGTGACTATCAATAGACTATCAATTGCAGGTGATATACTACGAGCACGCACAGCATCAGCACCACTACGAGCACGAAGAGGAGCCCGGCTGGGGTCCCTGGTCCAGGAGCATAGACCCCGAGGTAACACAATAGGCGTTATTCAGTCAACAGGATGTTCCATTGACGGGTCTTATAAAAAATGTTGGTGACATCCTAAAATTGACATGTTAATCGTTTAAAATTAAACATGCTCTGTTTGTGCAAATACCAGGACTCGACCTAAATCGACATAAATGTTTAATGACTCCGCAGCGCAGTTGTCAAGATATTGGCTTCGGTGCTGCGGGTAGTGGGTTCGATCCCCAAACGGGACAACTATTTGTGACCCACAGATAGTCGTTTCGGATCCGAGTATTTGTCCACATGAAATTTATGTGTGTAGAACGTCCTTACAAGGATACACAGGATAATGTTATCTTGTGTAGGGATTTTTTTTCGAAGGGAAGACTGCAATAAATCTTGTAGATCGCAATGGTCGTTGGGAATTACAATACAAATACTACCTAAATCTCAATATAACGAGAAATTCGGTTTTTACACGACTTTGAAGTGTGCCTTTCCAGTCAGTAACTACCAGTTACTAAAGTATATACAAATTATTTAGAATGATACATATAAAATTGATAAGTATAAAATTGGCAGCAGCCAGGGGACTTGCAAGTGCAGAGCAAGAGTCATTTTCACACATCCTTGTCCTCGATGTATTCTTCGACATTACAATAGACCTTTGCCAATACGGTAGCTTTTACAAAATTAATTTGAAATTGTTTACACTCAGTACTTTGTGGTTGTCATTTCGACCTGTATTTATATTATACACTTGGATGAAGGAACGAGTGTATTGGTTTCCCCGATGACTCGGTGGCGCCGTTGCTAAGCTATTGGCTTCGGCGCCGGGGGTCGTGGGTTTGATTCCCACACGGGACAACACTTGTGCGACCCAAAGACAGTTATTACTCTGGGTCTTTCTTTCCCAAAGGGGGTTGACGTCAGGCAAGCGGCCGGTCGTAATAAACATTGCCAAAACCGCTTACAACATGATTCCCACCTTGCGCCGACCAGACCTAGGCGGGATAAGACGACCCGAATGGCAGTGTACCTGCCTTCTGCGCCAGAGGGTGTGGGTTCGATCCCCACTACTGGAAAAATATTGTGTGATGAGCAGTGTTTTTCTAGTGTCTGGGTGTTTGTATAGGTATAATGTGTATTTATTTGCAAAAGAAAAGTATGTTTAAGTATGTCTATCAGTTAAAATATGTAGAAAATTAAAATATGTAGAAAAAGTGCGAAAAGATTGTCGCCGCTGTGCGAATAGAAGAAAAAAAATTGCAAAGATTAGCACTATAAACAATTTAAATGTCTATCAGTTTTCTAAAACCCATAATAAAAGGGTTGCTTAGTTTGGGACTAGAGAATGTTGTGTAAAAAATGTGTCCTAAAATATTTATTTATTTATTTGTGATGGTTTCCCTTTAGGAGGAGGAAGCCGTCCCTGAGCCCCACAGCCGCGCCTACCGCGCGCACCAGGCGTTGCTCGCACGCGCCCCAACCACTAGGCCTCTGCTCACCCTCACATAGGATACACCACACCGCTAAGGACGTCACGGAACTTACTCATGAAAGTCGTAATATCGGAAAGATTTGTCTTAACATATTAGACGCTCAGCGGCTTCTCTTGTATGGACAGACTCGTTTGTGCCAGCCTAAGTAAAACCGAAAAATATGGTTTATGTTCCGACTGGTGTGTGGTAGATTTGTCTTAATATAGCAGAGGCGCTCAACCATTTCTCTTGAGTAGGCCGCTGACTCGTCAGAACCACAGCGTCAGTAAACCAGAAAAAAGTTTATGCTTTTGCGTCCATTTATATTTATTGCGTTAGTACTATATGAGGTAAACCGGGCCCAGACCTTTTAAATGTTGGCAACTGAAATCTGAAGAGATTCCACCGAAGACAACGACAAATTAAGCTTTGTGGGTCCAAATGCATGTCTTATTCGCTTAACTAAAATGGTTTAAGTATAAACTGTATAAGTTACATAGCTCGTAATAAATTATTTTATTTATTTATTGTTGATTAATGGTTCGATTGTATTTATATTGTATGATAGTTGTGCGTGATGTTAACCTAAATAAATTTTGTATGGAAGAAATTGTTTCTTTTCATTTGACACCCCTTAAAATGTGAAATAAAAAAACTCTGATCCCCTGAATTGCTATTGACTTGTATTTTAATAGCAATTCATAATTTAAAAATATAGTTTGATAGACATTGTATTGAAACAATATTTACTTTATGTTTTAAAAATGAAAATTGTGTCTTTTGCACGAAGATTCACCCGATGTCTTATCATAATTTCAGAATCAAAATCATTACATAATAGAAATATATCTCGTCCTTCGATGTAACTGTTTCTGATTATTTTTTTTATGTACAAAGGCGGACTTGATAACCGAACGGTTGGTCTGAAGAAGTCGCAAGTCCACAAATAAAATAAAAAAGAAACAAATCCACATCAGGATTCTGATCCTATTTATTATGTATGTATATCGTATTCTAAATTACACATATTAAATAATATCATAAACTACTACTTTAAAACTGGATGCAAAACAACATTGCACGACCACAAGGCTTAGGTGCTGGAACATCTGTACACATAAACCGGAAGGTCGGTTCGAAAATTTTCACGTCAGCGTTATCTACACATTTTTAAGTTAAATCTTAAGTGCAGAGACACATTAAAAAAAAATACAAAAATTACTTATCATTTTATTTTATTACTTTGCAACTCTGGATTGCTTTAATCGATACCGACAGGAAATTAAAATTTTCTTGGGGAATAGTAATTGTTCAAATAAGTTATGGATCGGTATAATTTATTAAAAAAATGACTATAGTAAGAATCCATTTTGTTTCTATCCTCTATAGTTATCCTCTCATTTTTGTATAATTAAAATCTATAGCTAACCGAAGCAACGATATTTGTTTAAAAACATTCCAATGCATTAGTATATTTTTGTTAATTATAATAATAAATTATATTTAAGCAAAGACTAGATTTTAAAATAGTGAACACATGTATATTTGCAAATCCTATACACATTTGGCTAGCAACCTGTTTCGCAGGGGTCATACTCTCGATTAGCTAGTCTCTAGGGTCATTTAAATTAGGTCAGTTGCAATAAACATAGTAAGAATTGAGGTGTATGTGTGTAGTTTTATAAATGTAAGGGTATTGGTATTAATTTGTAGTGTGCGTGGTGACTTCATTTTGCTGACCATGGTAACTCTTCTGTTTGCTGGTAATTCAATTGTTGTGAATATTTATTATTTTTACAGGCTTTTTATGGTTCAAATGGAATATATTGAATTATTATTAATAAACGTGAAATGCCTTTAAAACCAATGATACTTACACTTAAAAGTAATCTTACCATTTGCGATTCATCATGAATATAAATAAAGTTTTTATCTTATAAGGCATAAGGTTCATATCTCTACAATTTTCTTAATTAAAAATTAAAATCAAAGTTAAAATATTTATACAACAACCGTGCTGAAAACACGATTATTTTATTAAATATATTTCCCGAAAATACTTACTACGATGTGAAGTATATAGTGTTAATATAAGCCACTCATTGTCTGGAAAAGAAATTTCATAGGAACTAAAAGTTTTGTATAATAATTTAAGGATCATGATTTTAGGATAAACTGTTTAGAGAGTATTAGGTAGCAATTAAAAAGAAGTTAAAACGGAAATTTAAACTGTGCTAAAATGTGCTGCTGTAAATCACTCTCGTAAACCGAGAAAAAAATTAGTCCTAAAACAGATCCCTGAGGAACACCTATGCGATACACGGAATCCAACGTCTTTAAAAAGTCACGAAACGCACCGATGGCGAACTGGTCAATAAAACAGCGCTCGCCGTCGATTCAGCTCTGGCAAATCCGAATCCATCGCTGAAGTAAGGGGGCAGTAGGCGGAAAGGAAACGAGCGTGCGTTACAAAACCAAAAAATATATTCATCTCGTTACAAATAGAGAGTCGGCTAGCGGGGCGAGTACTTGGGGTTGTCGGGGGCGTAGGTGAAGCTGCGGAGCTCGTAGGGCTCCGGGTCGGCGGGGCCGCACGCGGCGGGCGGGGCGCGCCCCTCCTCGGGCTCCGGCCGGAACAGCGCCGCGTGCGCCGTGGCCGTGTCCAGGTCCGCCTTGCGCGACACGATGATGCGGATGTCCGTGTGCAGGTACAGCTTGCCCGACTTCGAGGTCATGAACCTGCCGACAGCGCCCGTTAGTCTCGAGCCTTAGCCGAAGCTCATTGGCCTCACCATCTCACAGAAAACCGACGTGTACTTTAAGTGTCACTCATACTAACCGGGGCATACTTTATCGAAAGGCGCCGACGCATCTACAATCCTACGGCTGTTAGAAATGTCCACGGGCGGTGGTCATCGTTTGCAATATTTTATAAAGAATGTACATAAGTCTCTCGATGGCAGACGGATGGCGGCGAAGATCGGACGCACCTGAGGTGTATGAGGTAGCGCAGCCACTTGTGGTGGTGGAGGGGCGGGGCGCGCGGCGCGCGGGCCGGCACGTAGAGCGTGCGCTGGCGCAGGAAGGTGCGCGCGCGCGGCGGCATCTGCGTCAGCTCGTACAGCACCACGAACATCTTGACGAGCGTGCCGTGCGGGTTGAACAGCGACACCTGCACGGTGCCGGCGCGCGGCACGCGGTAGCCGCCCGCGCCCAGGTTGATGTGCCCCTAAGGTTTACGTTTTTCATCGTGTGCTCACAATGCGGCGTTCCCGGGGGGCGCGCCTAGGCCCCGCACGATTCCCCCCTTCATTCTATCGCTCTTTATGTCGGTTTCCTCATGTTTTCCTTCATCGTTGAGTACGTTACGAATACTAAACCTCATTACAACTAACAGTTAAATTGGTGCCGGCACCGGGAATTGGACCCAGGTTTCTCGTGTATACTGAGTCAATAGCGAACACCGGGACAATGAGCTATTAGGCATTCGTTTATTTAAAGAAATATTTATCAAGATAAAGACATTTTAAATAACAATCTACTTTGATACTGTATAGGATTTTTTTTATTGAATATATTTTGTTCTATTTTTATATATTTCGTCAATGAAGGAAAACGTAAGTTTTAAAATGTTGCTCGAAAAATTATGAATTTTACAGCCTCCCGACAAAATTGCCCCTTTTAGAAGCGACATATAGAGATGATAGCTTGGGTGATTATAATTCCAGTGGGGCGATCGGGTGCTGTGGAGGTCACGAAGGGCGAAAAGAGTGGCAGTCACCATGTAGGGCGCGTTGGTCTCTCCGGGCGCATAGAAGAAGACGGTGACGGGCAGCCGGCGGTGGGGCGGGCAGAAGGCGCCCGAAGCGCCCAGCTCGGCGGTGAAGCCGTGCACCGTCGCCACCGGCTCCAGCCGCCCCTTCAGCGCCGACTCCTCGAAGCTACCTAAGGACCCAGCACGACCCCTATTTATTGAAGGTATACTTCTTTTGGCGCGTTAGGGGAAAATGTTGAGAGTTAATTTTTACGATGCGCGCGCACACCGTCACGGAGAACCCTACTATCTTTCAACATCTACGTATGTTTTCTTGAGGACTGACAACTGTATTAACGATATTTATTTTCTGATATTTAAATAAACTTTATTGTTAGTGTCGTTTTGTCTACAAACGTAGAATAAGGTGAAAGATGATTTTTTTTAAAGATTTTTATCTTGCTACGCCAAGTCATATGAGTCGCAGGCAACCGGATGCAAATGGCAGTGTCGTTCGTTGTAGCGTTCTTATTGGGAGGTCTATGTTCTGGATGGAAGGATGATGACGACATCGGTATTTTCGATTTTCCTTTTTACCTGTAGATATCTACGGGCGGCGCTCCAGGCGAACACGGCGCGTACATCAATAGCCGACAACTTAATATAAGATGTCATTTAAATTAGTAACGAAAGAACATTTAATTTACCGAGCAATCCCGTACTGGGGCCGACTCGTAGCTTTGGTTTTTCCGGCCTCCGCGGCGGCGGGGTGGGGGTGCGCGGCGTGGTGGGGGGCTCGCAGCTCACCGGCGGGTGGAACAGAGCGCTGGGGGGGGGGGGGGGGAGTAGACGATTAGAGTAGTCTTTTTGCCATTTGTCTATGTCTGATGTACGTAGTAGAGAATTGGCGAATATAGGGTGGGCTCACCTCTTGATGCCCGAGACGCCGTTGATGGAGTCGTCGAAGTCGAAGCAGTTGTTGCCCCTGCGCAGCGGCGCCGGGCTGGAGGTGAGCGGTAGGCCGGTCTTCGAGTGGAACACCATCGAGGCGGCCGACTCGAAGCGCCAGCGGAAGCGGTCCACCTCGCTGCTCGACGGCACCGGGCTCTCCGCCCTCGGCTCGGGGAAGCGGAACCCGCCCCCCTCCGCGCCCTCCGCGCCCCCCGCGCCCCCCGCCCCCTCGGCGCCCTCCGCGCAGGGCGACCCGCCCCGCGGCGACTCCTCGCAGCGGTCGATGGTGCCGTAGTCGCACTTCTCGTACATGACGTACTCCTCGCCCGCGGAGTAGGTCTTCTGGCGCTTGGGCTCGCGCGGCGCGGCCGTGGAGAACACCGTGTCGTCGCCGTGCAGCTTCAGCTCGTCCATGTCGCTGCGGCCCTGCCTGTCCGCGAGCAGCCTCCCGATCCTGTCGGCGGGCGCCAGCCGCCGCAGCCGCGGCCGCTTCACCAGAGCGCCGTCCTCGCCACTTACACTATTGTCAACTACACTACTTATATCACACGTCGAATTACTGCTAGGGTTATCACATTTGTGCTTCTTGTGGGGCGCGGCCGAGGCCAGGTCGTAGCTGGCCGCCGAGCGCACCATGCCCCGCTGGGCGCAGCCGGCGCAGCTGAGCGGCAGCGCGGCGCCGCAGCGGCAGCGCGCCTCCGTCTGGGTGGCCACGGAGCGGCTCCTGCGGGGCTCGGCCGGCGGGATGCTCTCCGTGTCGGCGAAGGGCGACCTGCCCTCCACCCTGCTGGCGGGCAGCGTGAGGTACGTCTGGTTCCGGTAGCAGCCGATGGCCCGCAGCCGGTCGAAGCGCGCCGCCTGCAGGATCGGTATGGAGGTCGCGGTCTTCTGCTCCCCCTCGGAGGAGGTGCTGTCGCAGAGCTTGCGCATCTTGCTCTCCTTGCGCAGCCGCCGCTTGTACTTGGCGATCTCCTTGAGCCGCCGCTCGTCCAGCTTCTTCGGCTCCTGCGCGCCCGCGCCGTTCTGGGGCCTGTGGCTGCCGTCCGACTCCTCGTCGCAGCTGCACTTGTGCTTGCCGCTCTCGCTGCACGGCGTCAGCATCCTGTCGTCCACTATCTCGCCCTCCTCCGGCGGATTGGCGGTGTACACGTACTCGGTGGAGCCGGGGTTCGAAACGATGGAGAGGCGGCGGCTGGAGCTGCCGATGTTCGAGTTGATCGCCAGCTCCGGGTACTTGGCGCACCTGGGGCCGAGCGTGAGCTCGTTGAGCTTGCCGACCAGCTCGTCGTGGACGCTGGGGGCGGCCTCCTTGCTGGGGCGGCGCTTCGGCTGGCAGGTGCACTTGACCGAAGGTATGTCGTCGGTGCGCGGCAGGCTCTCGAGCACCACCTTCAGGTACAGGTTGTTGCCGATGCCGGTGACGGGGAAGTGGTGGTCGGTGGGCGGCCGGCTGAACTCCGCCATCTTGTAGCTCTCGCCCGGGATCTTGATGGAGTAGACGATATTAAGCTTGCGCTCCTCGGTCGGGAGGTCCTGCTCGTCGCAGTTGGCTTCCAGCTTCTTGTAGTTGCACGTCTCGCGGCTGAGTTTCCTCCTGGAACCGGTTTGTTGAAGTTATTGCAAAGAGGTGACGATCATACAAGCATCTCACCTGTTGGTAGCAGGTAAATGCCCCATAATTTAATTCACCATTATAGTACGATACTAGATTATATGTTTAACTATTGTATATGTTTAATGTCTACGACTTTGTAAGTTTTCTCATTGTGAGATCCAGAATATCCATCCATTATCGCACCAAATTTAAAATAGTGGAGCTTTTAAACGAGGTTGCTTTGTACGGCGGATCCAACCACCACCTGGAATATCGATATTCGTCGTGGCGTCTTTGTGCTACAGCTGAGTGGCCGACTATAGTATACTTGTGTCAAACTGCCTGGTGACGAAATAACTTGCAATTCTTCCCCGCCTTCCGTGAGACCGGTGCACTTCCCAGCTCGCAGGACCTGGACACCCAGACGGACCTACCTCCGCTCGCTGGGGTCCTCCTCGCCCGCCTTGCTCTTCTTGAGCCTCGCCAGCCAGGCGGCCAACTGGGAGAAGTGCAGCTGGGAGCGGATCGCATTCAGCAGCCACTGCGACGACGAGAAAGCGGGCGCCTCGTGGCTCCTGGAGGGGGGGGGGGGGGGGGTGTGATGTCATATCCTCGAAATAATCGACAGACCATGGACGTTTATTACCCGACTGCACCAGAAAGAGGGTTTCGGTTTTCGAGAGTACAATTACGTACTCATAAACGCAGTCGGATTTTTTAGGTTTTTTATTTTTTAATTTTTAATTTCAGTTCGTGACGTTTCCAACCGTTTACAGCGTGCACGACCTCAGGATAGACTGTTCAGACTTAAGTGCTGTCCATAGAGGAACATCCTTTTACCTGTGGTAGGGCCACGCAACAGTCTACGCTGCAACACGAATGGGCAGATCCGTCCGGGTAAGTACCACGACCTCACAGAAGACCCGCGTGAAGTAGAAGTGTTATACTTCTGCGTTTCTTCTGATGAGTGAGGTAGCCGGGCCCACTTTAAAACGTGGCAACGTATCTGGAACACCCGTAGTTGTTGCAAATGTCCATGGGCGGCGGTTGTCACCACCGGGCGAACCGCCGGCTCGCTTGCCGCCGTCTCACATAAACACTGGCCAATAGCAACCCCATTGTAGCTACTTCCAGGTGTAGCGCACTCACTTGTTGAACAGCGCCCGCATGGTCCAGCGCTCCAGCAGCAACGCCCTCTGCTGCGCGTGCAGCTTGTCGTACGCCATGTCGTCATCAGCCCGCCCCAGCGCCGCGCAGCACTCCTGGCATTCGGGCGCGAGCAGCACCTGGAATCATCACCGTTAAGGGTGATGACCTACGACCGACCTTGGTGACGGAAACCACATAGATTTGTATACCGTCCTTTAAGAACTTACTCATTATAAAAATCACTGACAATGAAATTTCTGATAACTAGATACAGTAACATTACATTTTGTCTGCAATAGGATTCATAAGTATGAACATGGCTAGTACAAGACCATACAGTCCCTCATCCGTACTATCCGTACTAATATTATAAACGCAAAACTTTGTATGTATGGATAGATGTTTGTTACTCTTTCACGCAAATAGTACTGAATGGATTCTAATGAAACTTTACAATAATATAGCTCATACATCAGAATAACACATAATCTATAATTTATATATAGATATTTTTATGTATATCTGTCTTTCTTTCTGAATGTTAAACCTGTGTTATTCAACGCAGACGTAGTCGCAGGCAGCAGCTAGTTTCTAATAATTGTATACCAAACGTCTGGCATCCACAGAGATTGTAGATTTCAAGTCTGTTAAACATATTCACAGCCTATATAAATAATAAAAACTTCTTAATTTTACTTACCTAATTACTTCATAACTTAAAGCACTGCTGATTGATTATGGTTGCTTTCAAACCACTCTTCCTTAGTCTATCACCAACCTACTCTTTCTGAGTTCATCAAGGACGTGAATTACTAATATGAGCGTTAACTGACCTCGATGCAAACGGGGATCTGTTCGTTCCAGAGCGCCTGCACGTGACTGTCCAGTTGGACCTCCACGCCCGACTTGGGCTCAGCTGACTCCACATTTGGCTGTGACACCACCTGGAAAAGATACACCAGCTCGTCAACAACGGACACCAAATGAGCCTAGCCTAGGTTTGCTCTATATCCCATTAATTGAATCTACGTGGGAGGCACAAGGAGTACTACGAGTTTTGCACATATTTATAAAGAATCGATGACAATACAACATTTTCCACAACAAATTTATCAACGATAACTGTCAAGATTGCGTTGGTGATAGCTCAACGAAGATAACGTTTATATCCACGTGTTATATTATTTTAGACAATAGCGTGAATCCGACCGCAGCTCATATTGTGCGTAACATTTTGGCGTGTATCCGAACAACATAATTTCAGTGGGAACGATTATCTGTGATATTACCGAACTTATGGATGGTAACTTTATATTTATTGATTTCTTTTGTTGTTCATTGTAAGGAACTGTTTTTTTATATGAAATAACTAAATGGTTAAAACACTTTTTTTTAATAAAATTCCTTTTCTACCATTTTATTAAATAATTGGTCAACCCTGATTATATATAACCCTAATTGTTTTCTTGGCATGTAATTTTTCTTGCATTGACAGCAATTATTATCTCTCGTTATTTGCGGGTGTGACAGTGAAATAATGCGCGTATTAACGTGACCAACTGTCTACCATTTTGTGCCTAATAACATTTTCTAGCTACTCTTTCTGAATGAATGCGGTCAAGTGTGAAAAAAACCAGTTTCAAAATATAACATTTATAGCTAAAGTATTTCTCTTTCTCGGTCAATGCAGTGAAGAGTACAAATGAAACTTATTTTACGGATTTATCGCTTTATTTCGCGTTTATTTTCTAATTTCAATTCTCGGTCATGGTCACGGCACAGACTACACGACAGACGTAATGTCGTGAAATTATAAATAAAAATGAACGCGATATCTCCGTAAGGTTAGTTCCACTTATAATGTGTTACCGCGTAAACACTAGAAAATATCATGCAGCGAAGAGTGTCAAAAGCCGCCCCATCCCCACTGACCTCGCTGGTGGAGGGGTTGGCGGCGCGCAGCTTCGCCTGCAGACGGTCGGCGGCCGGGCTCCTGGCGCGCACGATCAGCCGCCCCAGGTGCTTGAGCAGCGCCGGCCCCGAGACGGGCGGCGTCACCAGCGGAGCGGGCAGGGGCTCGCAACTGTGCATCTGTTGGCAGGGCACGTCACGTGAGAATGTGGCAAGCGAGCTGCTGGGTCACCTGAATCGTGTCAAGTGATAACCGGCGACCATGGTCATTCGTAAAACCCGTACGGTTGCAGATGCGTTGCCAGCTTATAATAAATTGGGCCCCGGCTAACTCACTCGCCGGACGAAACGGTGCGAAACGGAGCGAAACTTCTGTGAGGTCGTGGTACTTACCCGGACGGACCTGCCCATTCGTTTAACTTCGTCGGTGCTATCTAAGTGACGCCGATACAAAGGTATTAACTTCGACGTCGGGGTTCGTGGGTTCGTTTCCGCAAGTATTCGTGTGACCCACAGATAATTGTTCCAGATCCAAGTGCTTGTTACCCAAGGAGGGTTGACGTCAGGCAGACGGCCGGTCGTAAAAAAAAATAGCCAAAACCGCTTACAACATGATTCACATGTCATGGCGACCCCACCCCACGTAAGCAGGAGGATGATGGTGAACTTCGTCGATCCCGCTAAGTACGAAAGCCAAAGAACGAGTGGACATTATACATTATTAAAATTAGGCCTTTAATCTAGACCACTCCAGTAATGTAATCATTACGTATATAAATCGGTACCGCTAATAGAGATGAGCATGTAAAGGTATTAGCTAATAGACCAATTGTCCATTAGGCTACCCTCCGAATTGCTGGAGAATTATATCGTGTTATTGGAGAGAGGATTAATTTTCAAAAAATACCCTTGGGTCAACAATTAAACTTGAAAAACTCGGTAGCCACCGATAGTGCACTTTCCTACTAGACCTGCGTCAGAGCTCATGAAGAAAGTGAGAAGTGACGTATATCCCTTAGGACTCTCCTTCATCTATTATTGGCATATGAGATCCACACATTAATCAACACTTAGAACTTGTCTAAATTTAGATTGCCGAATTAGAGCGGAAACCAAGTAACCATTATCCCACCACAGTTTTGCTGTCTATCAAATTCTATAAATAAACAGTCGCAGCCAAAACGATAACTGTTATCTTAGTCGTTATGTCATAAATATTAGTAATTATTGATAACGGTACCCGATTGTACCAGGACTGAATAGATAATGGAGCACAATGCTTCGGCTCACGCTTTAGGGGTTAGTAGGTCACTTTATCACAATGCTTTATAAGTCTCATTACCAGGGGGACAGAAGGGCAAAGTGATACATTGACCGGAAATGTATTCCTTACAAACTTTGTTCGGTCAATGGAGTTGACGAATGATCAGACAATTTCACAAACACTTTTTTGCGATTCAACAACTAGAGTAATGAGTAGAAATTGAATAATTCTCGATTAAAATAAACAATACAAGCCTACATATTGTTTGATGAGACCTATTCAGATCGCCAGTATGTTTCTAATAAGTTTTGTAAGTGCTGGTCTAGAAGAAACTATCACTTTTAACTTTTCAAATTTCAGGACAGGACACATTTATACACAGCGTTCTCTGGTCCCAAACTAATCAACGCTTGTCCTATGGGCACTAGATAACTGATGAACATACTTTAACATACTTTTATTTTGTAAACAAATACATGAATATATAAACACCCAGACACTGGAAAAACACTATGTTCATCACACAATATTTTTCGAGTAGTGGGGATCGAACCCACACCCTCTGGCACAAGATGCAGGGTCACTACCCACTACGCTAATCGGATCGCCATTGTTATGCATTCTCATTTTTTACTAGAAACATTAATCATATTCAATAATTAATGCAAGTCACGTCACCACAGTCACCTCCCCATACTAGAATAGCCGTCAGGATTATTAGTAGCTATTAATAGACGAGCACCTTTATGATATGCATTTATAAAAGGATTTGGGTCGTGTTGTATTTCGTTGTGACGTATCGCGGCCCTTAAAAGGCGCGAAACGAGGGGCACCAGGTTAAACTTGACACGCGCCAACTGCGCACTTTCCAGGACAGACCGTACTGACCCAGTCGCTAAGGATTTGGAACGCACCTAATTTGGCCTCCGAGTTGTTTAGTGTCAGATGAGTGTCCTGAATTCCGCTGTTCCGCCATATAAGTGCTCCGAAATATAATTGATCTAAAAATAAGCGGCACCCAGTAATCCGGAAACTTCTATGTTAGAATACCTCAACTAAAACAAAGGAAAAAAGTAACGGTCATTGTACTCTTATGTAGTTTTTTTTGTTTTACTTCATGCGTTTTTGTGTTTGGTTTTTATAATACCCCAGGTTATTAAAAAATATTCAACTTTATACATCATTACAAAATGGCATAGAAACCAATTAATCAAATGCCATGGAGAAGAATGCTTTCTGTTTTTATTCATTCTCATCTGAAATATATTAATTGACAAATTTTAACGATATTAGTACGGAAAAGCTATATCCTTTAAACTTTTACACTCTGCATAATATTACTTTCAAGGCTTTATTAATAATGCATATCAAAAATAAAACCAAAAAAGATAAAATTCAAATTAGTACTGTTACGATAAACAAGACTAAATATCCTACAATCGTATCGCATTATAAACTAAAACGCCCTCAACATAAAGACTAAAATTGCTTAAGGAAACGTTAGAGTTAGAACGTATAAGCTCCCGTTTTGGCAACAGCCGTGTTACCAACGCCCGGTTTTAAAAATAGAACTAGGTACACAATTCAGCCGCTGCAGCGAATCTGCGCACCGCCTGTATCGTTGGACGTGGGCTGAATTGAAGCGCTCGAGGGCTTCCAAGTCGGTTCGGGGACGGGGGTGCAGCGGCGATGTGGGTCAAGGACTCCGCTTGCACGCGGCCACGCCCCGGCCCGCGTTCGATTGGCCCGAAACGCGCGCGTTCGCGTTACACGCCGTTGACGGTTTACGTAAATGCGGCGCGTTTCCGTTGCACGTGCAGCGTTATGTACTCCTGGTAACCACATTATGTGGGCCGATTTGTGCGGCCGATTCCACCATATGAAATCACCCCACCAGAGAGAGAGAGAGACGCATACATGCTTCCTTGATACAAATTCGATTTTTTTACACAATGTTGAATAATAATTGCAAAATTATAACTATTGGTAAATAGTAAAAGTAGCGCAGTATGTAACTAGTCGATGGAATTTGCGCAATTCATTGAATTAATTGACCAATGGGAGGGAGGGTGACGAGTTTGTCACGTATCCGTTCGAAAGAGTATGTCGCTGGACCACGTCGCTAACTGTATTGAAATTTCGCCTATGGACTCTAAGTTTAGCATAGCAGAAATATTTCTGTCAAAATTTTAACAAACTCTTTAATTCTAGTAAGGGACAGTCCATAAGTTAGTTTGGGGATATATCTACAATTTTTGTTCACGTTTTAAAATCTTTCTTTACTTTAGCGAATATACACATTATAAAAAAGGATTTTGTACCAATTTTACTGCTTAATATATGTGTTTTTGTATCAAGAATAAAATAACGCACGGTTAAAATAGGCTTGTTTTGTATGTCGTCTCATTTATATGAAAAGGGAGTACCCACTAGCAACAAGACAGAGCGACGCATAGTTTTCTCTTCCTATTATCTATTGGCATCACATTTAGCAACATCCGCCCGCCCTTAACCCACATTCGGCACGACGAGCGGTCGAACGCAACTCTGCTGACCCGATAGTGCGAATACTCACCGCGAATCTTATCGCTGTTATCGCGAAAGCGTGCGTTAAGATAACACGGCACATGTAACACTATACGAACTGTGAGGTAAATACTCCGTTCCGTAAATACAATACATACACAAATAAGCCTACACGAAAAGGCAGACAGAGAGTGAAAATTTTCCACTCTCCCCCCTCTCTTTGGCCTCTACCAAAAACTAGTACATCTAAATGGGAACTATCACCGCTCATCGCCCACCACTTTGTTATTAAGAACTGGTCGACAAAATAATCTACCTTATTCTTACTAACATTGAAATTATTAAAAGGCGAACTTTTATTAAAATTCCCATAAGTATTTTACAATGTATTGTTCATTTTAATTCTAGATACTTCATCTGCTAATAGCTTTGTACTGAACGCGTCGAACCTCATACCACTGCATGTAAAGGTATTTATTATATGGTTAATTAAGTTCTATAAAAGCAAACGTTGCTGTTTCATTACATTCCCAATTTCCTTGAACTTCCCAATAAGAGATAAAACGTAGCGCTTACGTTGTTACTCTTGAAACACACTCGATTGAAACGATTAATGGTTTCACTACACACAAAGCAGTCAAGGCCGCCATCACTGAAAGAATAGACAAGAATTTGTAAACCTGTACAGAGCCAAATTGTTTAAGCGCGTGAGAAATAATACAGAAAATTAGATAAACACGAGTGGACTAAAATGGCGCATTTCCGAATACACGGACAAAATTAATTATAGATAAACAATCACAGATATAGATAACGCACCTAAATCTTCATAATAGAATATATATTATAAATAACTAGCCTGGTAAACCCTTTTCATCGTTCGAAATAGAAATAATTGTATTGTGTGAGTACGACCTCAATCTGTGTAGGTAGTACCTAACTAAGAAATTACACCGATCAATAAAAAGCGAAACAACATAAATCAAAATGTTTGTATATGACACAGTTAATAAGTACGAATTATGTTTTCTGAAAGCTACGAGAGCATACGAAGATATTTTAACGGGACAGAAATAAAAACAACGGAGCCATCTTCGCGAACGCCTCACTCATTATGAGATGCGGAAATAAGCCGTTCTAATTTTAATATCACAATGTTGACAAACAGAAGTGCGTCTCTCACGCACGCGCCGAGTTTTCATCTAACCGTCCCTTTCTATGAACAACAAAAATGGCGGACGAACGACAAGCGGCGACACACATGATCGCGAATATCATGATTAGCATTCTAATACGTAAACTAGTTACGTTTCTGCTGGCCGTGGACACGTGCTAAGAATTTATTTTCTTTGGTAGCAAATAGAAAATATAAGATGAATGTAAAATTCATCACTGACTACTCCATGAGGATTAGAGAGCTTATAAACAAAATACAAGTGACAAAAACCGCCTAAACAGCCAGCAAACAAAACAAAGATATTCCTTCCATTTAGCGTATGTTTAAGAAATCACTCATTATCAATTAGAATAATCAGCCGTTGTTTACATTATGTCAATTTTAGATTGTACAAAACAAATATTGTTCGCTCGTAACTTTGCATTTACTTTGAAAGTCACTTTTGGCGTAATCTTACAAGGTGACTCAAGAAACAGTTACTTTTAAAAGGTTATTCGTGATAGTTGACTAAATAGGCAGTTGGTAAAACATGTATGAAATTGTATTAAGAAACATGCTAAAACGATAATCTCTGAGCACCCCATTAAGATACAATTCTGCGAGAGCTTAATTTTCTTCATATTAGATTTGTGGAGTAGTGATGATGACATCATCAACTACGCAGCAATCATTATTAACTTGCTTTTACGTTTACGTGTCGGTCATATTGAAAACAAATGGGTTGGAAAATATATTTTGCATTTTCTCAGATGCTCAATTAAATTATGCAATTGAATTTAAAAGTCCACAATTTTAATGGAAGAGCACGATTCTATCATCCGAATAGGAAAGGTCCCCCCACATATTATTCACACGGCAATATTGTAATTATTTAAGCTTAGGTACCAACTAAATACATACAGAACATAATTAATAAAGATTTACAATTACCAACAGAATGTACCAGAACTTAAAGTTATGCAAAACATTTTCATTGAAACTTAAAATTAACAAATGGTGAAATATAATATAAACAAAAAAAAACACTATTCTGTGCAATACAATTAATAATATTAGTTCGAGAGCATTTTATAATTTAAGGTTTTTTTTAATTGAGTTCAATATCGCTTAAAATGGCACTATTACAAAGCGACTGACCGACTAGGTACCGTTCGTAATGAAATCGCGCAAAAGTACTAGGGCAGCAGGAATCAGCAGAAGGTGGATTTCGCGAGCGTCGGTCGATACGTGCTACATTCGAATGTGAGCTTTACTTCCCGCTAAGCAAAGTTCAAGTTCAATGCTCCTAGCGCGCGTTCGCAAAAACGTCACGCGGCCGAATTATATTGTTCTCGATTCGGAGCACGGTGACTGGCTTTCGTAGCCATTAATCGTTTTCTACGTATGGGCCGTATGTACCATGTGATAGGGTCCAAAACTCCCTTTATCTGCGAAAGCCAGTGAACAAAGGCGCACGATAGTCCACTTTAATAATCACTCACCCGCACTAGTTACGGTTGAATATTTAATACGTTCGTTACGACATACGACCTTCTGGTAGTAACTGTATTTACAAGGCAACGTAAACTTTATTACCAAACAATCCACATTCAATCGTATTACCGAACGCTAAGGCCGAATTCTGAATATCACGGAAAAGATATACGCCGTACTTCGAATTAGGTTAAAACTGAATGCAGCGTTGCCTCACGGCCCCCCCGAACCCTTTTGACACACATAGACTGTTGTCAAGCAGAAAACATTGTTAAAGCGCTTCATTGCAATCTTTGTTCAGTCGAACCATTTTATCTCAGTCGCTGTATTCGCTTTATGTATTAATAGATGCACTTATGGAACCAATACTATTAAAACGAGAGGTCTTAAATCGACACTCGATAAAGTTAAGACATGTTAAAACAGACGGCGTCGAGTGGTCTAGACGAGTTTTGTCGACAAAGCAGCTTAACGCAAAGACCAAACCTTGGCACAAATTGTGTGTAGGTACGAATTGAAAATTACAAATCATTAGACACGCGAGATGTTCTGCCATTTTGAACCGAATCCCCATACATAGATGACATATTATACCTCGCATGTAACCAATCTTTGTTTTGTGATGGAAACTCTTCTCGTTTCTGGACTCTTGATATTTAATATGTACTAATACAAACACGAGTTCTATTTTAAACTTTTTTATTTATTTATTTATTGAAATAATAATAACACAAAAAGAAAATTAATATGGAGGTAAGTAAATGACTTCCTGTTTAACTTTTATACCTTAAAGATATAAGATTTTCGTTGACACATGTATCGGACCTTTAACCCTAACGGATAAGAAAGACATGGATAGTATAAAAATTATCCATGTGACCAGGTCTGTCAAGTTTAAAATAAACAACTTTGTTATGGTCCAAAAAACGTGAATGAAGAAGTGATATCTGCCGTAAGAAAACGTGAAAAATAAAACCTACATACGTTAGAAATTATATACATCTAAATGATTTTTAAAATTTTCGCGAATACACCGTTATAACATGCATCAGATTCGATAAATTGCACATTCTCGCATTAAAATATATTTTTTAGACAACAAAGATTCAAGATCCTATATTATACAGGTCTTTAGCGTAGACCGGGCTAAAAATTAGAGTGCGATCTGAAAGCTAACGGGGTGTCGTGGGTTAACTACAAAGTTAACCTCTGCCTAATGAAATTAGGACGTTAGACAAGTCGGCACCATCATCATGAATGACACGAATTGTTTGGAACTTTGCGATTTTAGAAGATCACATCTGAACACGATAAAATACGTGAAATGTTAAATTTTTATCACAGCGAACTATTAAAACAAAACAAGTAATCAATAAGAACTAATTATATATACGGAATTATAATTAAAATAGATCACATGTAATGTTTTTAATATATTTGTGATATATACACACAGTCACAACACACCCTTTGTTAGCTTGTTTTTCTTCAGAATAGAAAATATTATACGTCTACTAGCTTAATAAAGAAGTCATTTATCGCTTTTGTAAACAGCGTTTGTGATACATAATTATTTTGTTTGCTTGTATGTATAGTTAAATATACAAGCAGTGAACTCTATACATAGAAGTATATAGCTCATAACGTAACGAGAAGATCCTGTAGAAGTTATTGAATCTAAGCCTGTCAAGCGCGAAACGGATT